TCGGGTACCAGGTAGTCAACATTCTTAAAATGCAGGGTTTTTTTTTTTTTTTTTTTTTTTTGTATTGGCTCCTACCCCCACAGAGTACTGCCCACCTGGTGTTATGATTGCCTTCAGCTTTGATTCTGTGATCTTCACTCTGGCTCAGGACAGGGCCCCAGTCTTTTTCCCAGAAAATGGTCACTTCATGCCACAGTAACATTGTTCAGATGGAAAAGCTTTACTTATGGTGACCTCAAGCGGATGCTTGGAGTGCATCATATTTGAGACAAATGTGATCTGGAATAGTGAGAACCTTAAACCTTTTCAAAAAGACTATTGATGTATATGGGGCTGAATTTTGGCAAAGGTATGCATCTCTTGGCTTGCGTATATAGTTTTTACTGTACTAAAACAGCATATGCACTATAAACCTTAGTACCAAAGGCATATTGGTGATCAAATTTTACTTGGGTTCTTTTGACTGGTGGTGAAATGTCATTCAGAAAACTTTCTTCCTTGAGCTGGAGCACTAGTGAAAACATAAGTTTCTAAAGCCAAACGTCAAAATAGTAGCGTGAGGTATGCAGATAAGGAATAGTGTTGCTGATTCACTAGCAGTCTGCTGCTCTTGGCAGGGTTCTGCTCCACACATCAGGAAATTGCTTACACTGTATAAATGGATTCTGTATTATGTAGTAATTGAAGGCTGAGTAATGGATTCCCAGTCTGTTAAGAGACACTGCTTGAGCCTTTCGCATTACTCTTGATGGGGGATATTGGAAGATAAAAGAAAGATTTAACCAATGTTAACCTTGATAAAACCCTGCAGGTTTCGTGCACATTTTCTAATATTCAACAAACGTGGTTCCACCGTATCACAGGCTTCCAGTAAATTAGTTGGAAGTCCTGTTGCGCTTTTTTTTTATCACTGAATAATATGTAATCGGCTTCAAAGGACATATATGTGTAGTTGATGGGTGCTTTTTTTTTTTTTTTTTCCCCATTAGGGATGAACTTCAACTTTGTCAAAACTTTGATATCTCTCTCCTTGTTTAGGAGATTTTTCCTCACTTCCTAGGACAGGAAGTAAGTAGAAATACAAAAGAAAAAGGCACTTTTGAAAGTAAAGAGATTAGCATTACTGTTGGGGTTTTTTTTTTTTTTTTTTTTTTTACCATTGCGGTGATCTCCCTCCACATCTTATCTCCCTATTTCCAGGACATAAAATAAGTAGAAACACTGCAATAAAATAAACTAAGAACCACCCTGGGGTTTTACTGCAGCCAGGTTTCCACCGAGGAGATTTTTCCCTCATTTCTTTTACCATGAATGCCCAAAAATCTTCATGAAATCCTAAAGGGGGCACTCAAGGAAGAGAGGAGCAGGACAGCATCAGCGGGGGACTCCAGAAGAGGAAGTAGGAAATTACTCTGGGCAATACTGTTGCACAGAGCAGGTAAGTGTAACTTTTTTTTCTTTGTTTTAAAGTGATACTAAAGGTTTGTGGTTTTTAAATTTTTTTTTTTTTTTTTTTTTTTTTTTTTGTAAAATCACAAATCTGTCTATATTTACCTGCTATGTGCAGTGGGTTTGCACAGAGCAGCCTGGATCCTCTTCTTATCGGGTTCCCCACAGGCTCTCCTTTCTCCTCCTTTCTGTCGTGTGCCCCCATAGCAAGCAGCTATGATTGGCTGTGATTGACAACAGTGGGAGCCAATGACCCCAGCTTGCTGCCTTGAGCCAATAAGGAGCCAGAGACCTGGGACAGATGAGGCTGATGTGCACATCGCTGGATCTCGATGGGTCTCAGGTGAGTATTGAGGGGGGCTGGGGGCACTGCTGCACTCAGGTTTTTTCACCCTCATGCATAGAATGCTTGAAGGTAAAAAAAAACCTTTCGCTTTTACTAGAATGCATGAAGGTAAACACCTTGGGCCTTCACAACTGCTTTAAGTTTAAAAATAAATAAATTGACCTATAGAACATCACTTTAACATAAAAGTACACAAACCTTACTGCCTCCATCTCCTGACCCAACCTCACCCCTCCTCCCCCTACACATATTAATGCTTACCTTGATCTGGTGACCAAAGTTCTGTTTGTTTACATCCAGCCCCACAAGTCTTCATTACCCTGGCCACACCTGCCACATTTACAGCGCCATAGACTTCTATGAGTCCATCTCTGATCTAGGGACACAGCTCTATACAAGTCCATGGGATGCTGAGGCATAGAAGCTGCCAGAGTGAAGGCCGTCAGAGCTGGATGTAAACAAACAGAAGAGCCATGGCTGTTTTGATCAAGGTAAGTATGCAGCTTTGGAAGGCGAAGGTGGGTTAGGTCCAGGGAAGGGGGCAAAAAGTTTGTTTCAAAGTGTACTTAACCTTAAAAAAGTTAGCTCTGTCGGGATTCCAGAGGTTCAGTGAGTTTTGCAATTTCAAGCTCAACTTAACGAAGACGGAGATTCTTATTGTTTCTATGTTACCTCCCCGGTTTCACGAGCTCGGGGATAACTTTCCTTTCAAGCTTTGCCCTGGCTCCCTCAAATATCTGGGTATTAAAATTCCAACTAATCTCTCTCATATTTTTCTCTGAGAATTATACTCCTCTACTTCAACGCACGTTACAGGACTTCCAGAATTATGACCGTTCCTTGTACTCCTGGTTTGGCCAGATCAGTATATTGAAAATGGATGTTGCCCCCCCCCCCCCCCGCTTTCTTTATCTGTTCCAGACTCTGCCTATTGCCATCCCCAGGCGCCTACAAACTGCTTTTACGAGATTCATCTGGGGTCCTCGTAGGCCGAGACTACATATAGCGATTTTGATGCTTCCGAAGCAGCGGGGCGGTGGGGGGGGCTCCCAATATGCATCTTTATCATGCAGCGGTGGCTCTTACTCGTTTGCCGAACTGATTTCATAATGCCTCTATGAAGCAGTGGGCTTCTTTGGAACGGGCCATGGTACCATGTGATCTGTTGACCCTTCCCTGGATAGTTGCTACATCTCGGTGTCCATCTTCTTCCTTACCGTTTCTGACTGTTCAGTTTCTGCGAACTTGGGGTGATACTTGTGATACTGCGTCTTTGGGCCTCTTCCCTGGTTTGGTTCCATGACCCCTCTGTTTGGCAGCCCCCAGTTTCCACCTCAATCTCGAGGACATTTCCTTTGGTTGAGCAGGGCCACTCATGGGCGTTTGGTGCAAATACTTAGTCGTGGGTGTCTTCCATCCTTCCGACAATCTTGCTCTTTGGATCGGGCCGCTTCTGCCCAGTGGATGGAGTATAGACAGCTTAGCTCTTCTCTGCGTACCTTTGCTGACCTTGATTTGTTTATTAGGGACCCCACACTGCTCGAATCCTTGTTCCTTCGGGATCTTCCCCCTTTGTGCCCTCTCTCTGAGATTTATCAGATTCTGCTGGCCACGGTTCATCCGGACCTTCCTCCGTATACCTACAGGTGGTCTGGGGCCCTTGCAATACAGATATCGGAAGGACTGGGTAAAATCCTTTACCCTTACACACCATTTGAAATTGGTTTCCTGAGCCCTACTGGTCAGAGACAAATTGCTCACTTGGTGGTACAGATGCCCCACCTTCCTTCATAGGATCTTATCTTCCACCTCTGATCTCTGTTGGCGCTGTCGGGCTGCTCCCGGATCCCTTCTTCATATCTGGTGGGAATGTCCCATTATTTACGCATTTTGGGATCTTATCTAGCGAGTTTACTCTGAGGTTACGGACCAGATGGTCACCAATACGCCCCAAATTGTTCTACATTCTATCCTGCCTGGCTCCTTCAAATGTATCAAATGCGGCCTTCACCATTGCTTGACTGCTGCCAGGCTGGTTATACCTCGCCATTGGAGAACTAGCTGTATCCCGACTCTTTTTTGGAGTGGGTTGAGGAGATGGATCATATTAGAAATATGGAGTCGCTCTTGGCTCAGGAATTGGGTACTTCGGCACGCTGTCGTCAAACTTGGCTCTCCTGGCATATGTATAGGGAGTCCTCCGTACTGCGCGTTCTCCTGGATACTTGAGCGGGAATTGTCCCTTTTTCTCTCTTCTTGGTTCTTGTTGGTTTGTTGTCTTACTGGGTGTTCTTCTTCAGGCAGATTTATTCTTCTTTCGTTTTTTTTTCCTTTTTCCGTTTCCCCTCTTTTCTTATTGCCCCTTCTCCCTCCTCTCCCCCCCTTCTCTTTTTTATTTTTAAATCCCCCTTCTATTTGTTTTTCTGGGCGGCTTTTCTGGGAGGGGAGGGGTGTGGATTGCTGTGAGGGGTTCCATTGCTCCTTTCCCTTTTTTTTTTTTTTTTTTTCTCAAGCTGATTTCAATTGTGCTGTATGGTTCACTGTCCCTTTTTTAGGGTTTGTGCTGTTTTTTATTATGGTTTTTTCTAGGCTTTCTTATCTGTACTCTTTTGGGGCTTGACATTGCTTGTACAACATAACTATTTGCACTTTACCCTTGGGTCTGCAATTGGCGCTTCTTAGTGCCAAACTGTTATTGTTTATTATTGCCTCCTTGTTTCTCTCACCTACCTTTTTTTTTTTTTTTTTTTTTTTTTTTTTTTTTTTTTTTTTTTTTTTTTCTCCCCCTTCCTTCGCCCTTCCTTAGTTTTTGTTGTATTCCCTACCATTGTATAGTTTCTATGCCAGTTACATTTTTTTGTACAGTTTCTGAAAAGCATTAAACTGAGATTGATCATAAAAATGTTAGCGAACATCACTACACTTGGTGTACAACTCCGTTCACCTACATTATTTCAGTAGCAGCAGCATCGTTGCCTTTTCATGTCATTTTATATCTGTGGTTAACCCAGACTTGAATCATGGGTGCTTTGCAGGAATGCAATGCCTCCTTGAAGATTAATAATTGCAACCAATGTAACATCCTTAGACCATTTTTTACTGATTTAATAGCGGATTTTTTAGCACTACATTTTATATGATGTTCCTATGAAAAGTTCTCATTATTTTTTCAACTGCACTGTAATCTTTCTTCGTTGTTTTCCAGATTTGATACAAGCTACTAATGAGACAAATGTGAATATTCCTCAGATGGCAGACACGTTGTTTGAACGAGCAACAAATAGCAGCTGGGTAGTTGTGTTTAAAGCCTTAGTCACAACTCATCATTTAATGGTCCATGGCAACGAGGTAAGTTTCTTGGGTAACCACTTTGACCAGGGTAAGGTGCTTGTTAAATGCAGTGCCTAAAAAATGGGGTTTACAATTTTTTTTGACTGTCATGGAACATTGAATAGCAGTGTATTTATTTTAACATTGATCAATAGAAATGTGCTCCTATGGCAGTGATTTTAAATTGATTACAATACACCCTCTTTAAGATGAAACACATATACTGATACAGCCCATTCACATAATTAGGTTAATGAAAATCACTTCTGTTTTGTCAAAGGGTTTTAGGTGACTGTTTTGTCAAAGGGTTTTAGGTGATTGTAATGTAAATACACTTGTGTCTTGAAGGTCCAATTTCTAAATATCTACCAAGGCACATAGTTGTAATTCACATGGTGTGCAACTAGAAAGCAAATGAGAAGCAGAAATTGGAGGCCCAAAAGAGTCCTATTATTATTATTATTATTATTATTTTTTTTTTTTTTTTAACAACTTGGTGAGAGTTGTGCTTTTTATCTGAAAGGGTAGTGCTTGTTGCCTTTTCCATGGAGATAAAGGAAGAGTATCACCATAGTGCATCATTAGTATCTTTCTGCCAAGGTAGGAAGAAGCTTGCAATAGATTCAACAAAAGATTCAAAATGGCCAGTTATCTCCCTGCCTAAAAGATCTGTCTGTGTATGGCCGTAATAAGGACTTCATTTTTGTTTTTGTCTTGTGTAATGCATTACATGTTTGTTTTTTTTCCTTTTTCCTTTCATTTTTGGTCATTTGGTAGGAATGCCGTGATATGTACATATTTCATATGCATGTCAAGGTAGGCCACCTTTAGACCTCTGACAGGCTTGTATGGATTTGACCAATTTTGTTATGGCAAATTGAAAAATGTTTTACTGACCCTTGAATTTATCACTTGTATAAAATATTCTCAGCATGTTTCTGACGTGCCAGGAAGTGTAAATTAACCGATATCTTCTCTTAGATTTTCCCAGCTTTTACAGTAGGTCCCCTCTGTATGATTAGAGATTATTACTGTTGTAGATAAGGGAAGAAGCTGTAGCACAGGTCTGATAAGTGTATACTGCAGACAGATTCATGGCAGTGGATACTTGATGCATACAGTCTGTGGCCTGTCGTGGTCCAGACTGAATTTAACTTTGAAGCATCGAAGCGCAATATAGTCCGCCAGCCGCTTGGGGAGAACAGGACAATTCCAGCACCATGATTTTGTCTTGGTTAAAGACCGTTACAGTGGTTTTTTTAGATGCCCTAATTGGAGTCAGGGACCAAGTAAATGATCTGTTTAGAACAGGGATGTCAAACTGGTGGCCCTCCAGCTGTTGCGGAACTCCAAGTCCCATCATGCCTCTGCCTTTGGGAGCCATGCTTGTAACTGTCAATCTTGCAATGCCTCATGGGACTTGTAGTTTAGCAACAGCTGGAGGGCCACCAGTTTGACACCCCTGATTTAGAATATAGAGCACTTCTAACATTTTGGGGCTTTACAAATTTTAGTAAATACGTTTGACTGTACTGCATGCTTTTACTTCATGTTCCACATATGGGGGGGTTGCTAAAACTGGAACACTCAGAATCTGGTGCAGTTGTGCCAAAAAGCTTCTAACTTCAGCTTGTTCAATTTAAGCTTTGACAATAAAACCTGCAAGCTGATTGGTTTCTATGCAGAGCTGCACCAGATTTTGCGCACTCTGCTTTTAGTAAAATGCATAAATAAAAGTACATGGCATACGCTGTAGGCATATCTGCGTATTATGGCTTTTTTGTGTTCTTGATGCTGGATACAATTAATATAAAGTGTTCTGTTTTGTGTCTTAGAGATTCATCCAGTATCTGGCATCTCGCAACACACTATTTAACCTAAGCAACTTTTTGGATAAAAGTGGATCACACGGTAAGAATGTGTGCTCTTTATTCCGGTCCTAAATATGTTAACGGTTTTGGTTTATTATTGTGCTCACCCATGCAGGAAATATAACTATTTTACTTTGTAACCTGTTATGAAATTCTACACAGCAGGCTTTTCCTAGGGAAAAAGCGTCTGGGTGGACAATGTTATACTTCTCAGAAATATGATATTTCGGCAGTTATATTCAGCTTGCGGATAAAGAGCAGCATTTCTGGATGGTGTTTTATCTTTACATCTACAAAGGATGTTTTTATCCTTGACCCTTCTGGCAGGCTCATAGATAACTTTTCGTTAAGGGATTGTCTTCTATTACCGATTTAGCAGCACACAGCTCACGATTCAAGTCAAATATAGGTGGAAAACCAAAATCTATATATAAGTAAAACGTTTATATAGGTTTATTTTACAATTGACCTATTATAGATGTTGTTTTATCTTTTTATCTGTGTTTCTAACTTTTTTAGATGAAGTTACTTCTCTTAAAATTTACTAAGTGTGTGTGTGTGTGTGTGTGTGTATGTGTGTGTATGTATATATATATATATATATAACTTTAATTCAACATGCCTAATAATATATGGTGTTTTTTGTGGTAATTTTTTTTTTTTCTTTCTTTTAAGGAGACATCAATCAGACTAGCAAAGTGGCATATGGCTTTAGCTCCTAAAGTGTTGCTAGCTTTAGAGTGGCACTATCATTTTCCATGGGGTGTCTATTATGGAAAATGCTAATGTGATACTATTTATATGATAATAATGTTTTGCTGTTAAAACTATTAGATTAATGTGTGTAAAATAACTTGTTTGATTTTCCAAACAATTTGTTTACTTTTTTATGACAGCAAAATACACCTGGAATGTATCTGGCTAATTGGAAGGTTCATTTTGGGCTTTTTATTTGTGTTTGCAAGAGCATCTCGTGAGAATTGTTAGCAAATCTTTTTCTTCTTTTTTTTTTTTTTTTTGTTTTACATTTGTCAGTCAAAATAAAAATATATAATGTGAACCTTTTGGACAATGGCCAGGGTGACTCCTGCCAGCAGTTTCCATTGTTTGCTGGATCTCATTCAGGTCTGAGCTGATTAATTCTGAGGGAGATGTAACAGGAGGAGTCCATAGGATGATTATGCATTGGCCTGCTCCATTTACTAGACTGGATATTTTATTTATTATTATTATTACAGGTTTTATAAAGCGCCAACAGTTTGCTCAGCGCTTTACAATATTGTAACAGAACCGGACCCCAACTGCACTTGGGAATTTCTGTTAAACTCCCACTTCCCTGTCCGAACACTGACCACGGACACCACTGCTGACCATACAAGACGAGACAACACCAGTCTTGAAGGAAACCAGGAAATAAACTACTTTTTATTTTAACACAGATACAAGATATCTACATTCAAGAGAACAATTCCCCCCCTCCCTGCATAATGACACAGGGCGGGAAAAACCACATCTAGCAACAAGAGACACATCAGCAGACACCCCCACCAAGCCAATACACAAACGCATACATCCCATAATAGTTTGCTCCCAAGCAAGACACAGAATAGAACAATGGGATGCAACCACATGGCGTTAAACAATAAACCCCCCCCACCCCAATATTAAGACATTTCACCCTGTACCCCTAACAGGCACAGGGTGACTTACACATTATAGGGATATAGGGAGCTGAGACAGGGGTCTCCCCACCCCTCCAAAGTGAGCTGTGTTCCATGGGCCCCCCACCCAAAGTGACTCCCATCACAAATATAAAGGGAGACAATACAGCAATGATACAGTGCAATACAAGAGGGTTATGAGGGCCCTGCTCCTTGGAGCTTACAATATAAGAGATTTATTTGATGTTTAAACCATTTTGATTAAAGATAAACTCTGGCAATTAGACAAAGTCCACTCCTGCAGTGATTCCCTCTGCACTGCAAAAGTTTATATAATCCTTAAGCCTGGGGGTGCAGGGTGTAATACTTGCCTTATTCCTGGCTCTGGTAGACTTCTCAATCCATGTGACTGGAGAGCTTCCTGTTTTCCTAAGGCTCTATCAGTCATGGTCTCATGCTTGCCTCCTCCAGATACAATGCAGGATTAATAGACTGGAGCTTCTGGCAGAAGTGAACCATGCTGGAGCTGGAGTAAAACAACTTATCCCTGCACCCCTAGACTAAGCAATCATTTAACCCTTTTTTCAGCGCAGGGGTGTCCACTGCAAGGGTAGATTTTGTCCAACAAAATTCAGTTCAGCTATAAGATCACACTAACTTGAAATCTATGATGTTTTAGAAAAGTGCAATTTTATGGCACCACTCATGAACATTTTTGTAAATATGATTCAATGTATTTTAGTTTTGAATAAAGTAGGGAAGGAATAGAACTCCTGACATGTCTTTTATGAGCTTTTTTTTTTCCTTCTGGAGAGAATCACCCTCTCTATTTGTCCTTGTAACCGTCACCAAAACAAAAAGTGATGGCAAACCCAGAGCTGTCACCAGAAGAAGAGATGAGGTGAAATTTTCTTAGTCTATTCATGCAGTGTATACACAAGAATTCCAAATGCCCTCTCCTATGTGGACTACCACAGGCATAATTTAATATATAAAGTACAACAAACTGAAGTTAAAGAAATGAAAAAGTAAAAAAAAATAAAGCCAGTGACAGAAATCAAATATACCTCTGGAGGCATCCAGGACATCCATCTTGGACACCAGTTCCAACCATACTGGAAGTTTAATTTTCATACTTCTAGCACATATAGTAAATTAGGATGTCTTCGTGGGAGAAACGCAAGACTTTTTACCTGTCTCGTGTGTTAATATAGAATAGGTTTTTTAACAAAAAAGTAGATGTTTTAACTTACATAGTTTCTCTCTCAGGCTTTTGTTTCTTTTTATTTATTTTTTTAATCAGGTAAAACTTTATTGTACAGAAATATGGCGGTGTACAAAAGCAGTAGCATAAGGTTTCAGAGCAGATGCAATCCGTAGCCAGTATTCAAATTGAGACCAGAGAACCCATGCCCAAAATACATTACAGACAAGCTCTATTAAAGAGTTACAAATATTATTATATTGTAAAGCTCTGGGCAAACTGTTAGGGCTATATAAATCCTATATAATAATATCTTATACTATAATATCTTTAAATCTGCAGTGAGATCCTCGAACCAAACCTAACCAGTGCAATCATTTTGAACCACGGCCATAACAAGAAGGATGTTTAATAGAAATATTACATAATTCTATTATAAGGTCAATGGGCAACAGACCAGGTATGGACAGCCAGCCTACCCATAATTTTTTCAAATTAGGGGGGACATCCCCTGTGTTGAAAAAACATTTATTCCACATGTAGGGTGTCAACCACATGATGGACCAATTCCAGCTGCCTTGGTGACTGTTCAGGCTGCCAGTATTGTAAAATAAGCCGTCTTGCCTGGAAAAGAGCCCTAGAGATGGTCACTGGTAAATTTTGATAAGTCACAACTATCCAGTATGGTGGTGGCTTTATTTATTGATGCTGATATTATTTGTATTATATTTGTTTTCATTGTGGTTTGTATGGTCAGAGGTTTTGCGCACTTTTTGTTGTAACTATCCAGTATGCCCAGTACACAGTGTTTTTAGGGTCTAGAGAGATATTTGGAAAGCCATGATGATGGTAGTAATAATCTCAGACCAGTATCTGTGAAGTTTAGACAGTGCCATTTTTTTCTTTTATTTTTTTATTTTGTTATACTTTCCTCGGAAGTATAACAAAATTGCTTGGCATCATCACATTCAATGCAGTGCTTTTAAGATCGGAATGGTGGTCTGTGAACCGCTTATAGAGTAGGCTGTGGGGGACCAGTTGCGCAGCTGGAGGAACCCTGCTGGAGCCCAGTTGGGCGAGCACTTCTTATTTCAGTATCTCTGGACAGAGTACTACAAGGGTAGATTTTTTTTTTTTTTTTTTTTTTTTTTTTTTTTTTCTTTCCTGAAGTTTGGCTTTAAAGCAGAAGTATAGCCAAAGCTATTTTGATGATTAGTTCTCCTATGGATCACATAGTATAGAGTGTGTATTAGGCTACTGTGCCTAATAATAAGTCATCTCAAAAGAGCAAATGTAATATTCCAAGTAAAGCCTGTACTCTGCTGTAGACTCAAAGTCCAATTGATCGTTTGTAATCCAATATTAACCACTTCCCGTCTGCCCTATAGCAGAAGTACTGCTACAGGGTGGCATGGGTGTGCAAAATCACATGCGTATATATGTGAGTTTGCATTTCCGGGTAGGGGCGCATGTGCGCCCTACCCGCTCTGCCATTCGTGGCTGCGGCTATCAATCACCGGGTCCTGGCTGTTGATTACTCACCAGCAACTGATGATTGCCGAGCATCTCCTATGGGGGGAGAGCTGTTAGTAAACAAAACTGTTCTATCACCTGTCAGCTCCAGTACACTGCTTTACATGGCTCTGCATAGCACAACCATACAAAGCAGTGTGCTTACAGTGAAGCACAAACACAGCCCCATAATAAAACAGCACACTGTTAACCCTTTGATCACCCCACATGTTAACCCCTTCCTACCCAGTGCCATTAGTACAGTCAGTGCTTTTTATTAGCACTGATCACTGTTTTCGTGTCACTGGGAATGTCAGTGACACCAAGTCAGTTCACCCCCAGTGTCAGAATGCCCACCGCACTCCCTTTATAAATCGCTGATCGCCACCATTACTAGTGTAAAAAAAAAAAAAAAAAAATATTCCAGCATATATACCGCCATTTGTAAACGCTCTCATTTGCACGCAAACCAATTAATTGACATGTCATGGTATTTTTTTTTTTTCTAGCAAAGACATGTAGCAGAATACATTTTGGCCTAAATTTATGACACTTTTTTTTTTTCTCAGAATTGTGTTTTTTTTTTTTTTTTTTTTTTTTTTTTTATTCGCTACCCAAAAAAAAAAAAATGCACAGGGAATCAAATACCACCAAAAGAAAGCTCTATTCATGGGGGAAAAAAAGGATGTAAATTTCATTTGGGTGCAGCGTTGCATGACCGCGCAATTGTGAGTTAAAGTAACGCAGCGCCGTAACGCAAAAAATGCTCTGGTCTGGAAGGGGTGTAAATCCTCTGGAGGGCAAGTGGTTTAAGTCACAGAAATAGCCCAACAGACAGAAATATGACACTGCAGTTCAGTAGACTTTACAGTTAAAGACAGAGTACCCAGCGTAGCACTCAGTAATCAGCACTCTGTAACCGACTAGTCTAATTTGTATTGCTGAGAAAAGAGGGAGCAAGTCTGTGCAGGGACTTGAGGGGTCTGTCCATGTAGAGCACTGGTGCAGGGAGCAGAAAAAAGTATTTTAGGGCATTTCCAGGCAAATAACCATCATTAATCGTGATATGCAGATGTACAGGGCTATAAAAGAGGTACAAAAGGTGCGAGACTGCAGCTGGGACTTGTGCAAGAAAAAGGGACATCGTTTTGTGTTAAAGGATAAATTCACCTTTTGTAACATGTTACATCCATGCCAGTTCAAAAATATGCGGATTGGATTCTGTTTGAACCTCATCGAATTCACGTCATGCGGATTTCATGCAGTTCAAATCACATCCAACATTGCTTCCTATGGTGCCTGTTCACATGTGCTCAGTGAGTGCAGTGGCAGTGCAGATTCAGTGTGGATTAAAAAGAGTCCTGTACAATTTCTGAGCAGTACAGTCTGGTTCAGGTGTGGATTACAGGCTATTGATGTCTATGGGAACCGCTTCTAAACCGCACGTGCCTTAAGTTGTGAACAGGATAAAATCCTGACCTGAACCTGATCCAAACCTGTCCTGAACCTGTTGTAAACCTGACCTGAACTGCTGAACAACTATTATTTTTTTTTTCTAAAAGGTGAACTTATCCTTTTAAAGGGGAGCTGTCAGGGTAATTTGTGAGGTATAACTGTAGCTTCTAGATTCCCCAAGTAGCAAAGCTATGAAATTTTCACATTTCAATACAGCTTGCCAATGGCAGTCCCCCAAAAATGTTATCCTCACAGGTTGGCATTACATTACAGCAAGTTTTGTGATTTACCTTTCAGAAGCCCCTACCTACCTACCTGACATGTAGTCACAAAAAGACATTCATCACTATACTCTCGGCTGCAGCAACTTTCTTGTTTATTGCACAGCACAAGGGTTCACTTTTGACATGCCTTTTGAACTGAAAAGCATTTTTTTTTCTTAACAAAAAAGTTTGTGGCAGTGCTGTGATGAGCAACTCTCATTGAGTGTACATATCTTGTTCACATTCCATTCTAATACTGGATATATAAAGAAATATACAAGTATTCCCCCCAAAAAAATAAAAAAAATAAAGCATATTGGAAATGTTGAGCTTTGCAGCCTGTACCAGTCATTGTCCAACAGGTTTGTTAGATTCCACAAAGATGAGTTGTGAATAATTCAATACATTATCAGTCTTTTTTCATTTATTCCTCCAGGTTATGACATGTCAACATTCATTAGGCGCTACAGTAGATATCTCAATGAAAAGGCCTTCTCCTACAGACAGATGGCATTTGACTTCGCCAGAGTAAAAAAGGGGTAGGAGTATTCCTTTTTATTTTTCAGAATGTCTTGCCAACTCTAGTTTTTGCATACAAAAATAATTATGTGCATTCTTTTCGTGGGGAATTGTTTAGAATACAAAATGTAGTTAGAATGTATATGTTGGGATAATTCCGAACCAGGATGAATGCTACATTAGGAAGCTACAGTGATCCCTCATTTTTCGCGGTTAATGGGGACCAGAACCTTCCGCAAAAGCTGAAAAACCGCGAAGTAGTATTTGCCCCTAGGAATTTTGTGTATGCGGGTACTGTACAAGAATGTTTTAAATATGTAAACCGTATTCATACTTTACTCATTTAAGACAAAAATTACAACAGTAATGTACAGTATACGTATTTACTTAAACGTTTCAGTGCTAATTACAATAGGGTTACTGTAATTACAAAACCTTATACAGTAATAAACATTAATCAACATTGCTTTCTAAGAGAGGCGAAGAGTCTTGTGTTGGTGGCGGAGGAGAGGCTCTCACTTGACTCGGAGACTCTTCTGCTGGAGCCGGGGGCTTTACTTTGGAGAGAAACATGGTGATGGGTAGTTGTTGTCTTTGTTTTTTCTTTTCCTTCAAAATTCCCCTGTACAAGGACATAACCCCGTCAACGCGATTGCTGAACTCGACAGCTCGAACCATATTGTCGTCAATGTCTTGTGCAAATTGTTGCATCGCTCTTGCCATGTTGCACAATTGTTGCAGATTCTCCAGGGTAAGGCCACGCTTTTCAGCTTCTTCTTCGTCTTCCTCTTCGTTTTCTTCCTCACTTGCAGACTTTGTCATCTCAAGGAGGTCTTCATCCCTCAGTGGGTCCGAGTGGCAATCGATAAGGGCGCTGATGTCTTCTTCTGTCATGTCGACAAATCCTTCATTCCTTATGATGTGAGCCAGCCTCACCGCCTTCTCCACCGCTGAGTGATGAACTTCTTCAGGAGTGAAGCCTGGATAGTCGTGCACCACGTTCGGCCATAATTTCTTCCAGCTAGATTTTATGGTCTCACTCTTCATGTCCTTTAATGCTTGCTGAATATTAGACAAACATGAGGCAATGTCGTAACTGCGCCAGTATGCTTTCAAGGTGAATTCATCATTGGCATCGTCAACTGCCGAGATGAGGCTCTCCATCGTGGAGCGAGTGTAGAGTGCCTTAAAGGCACGAATGACACCTTGATCCATCGGCTGAATTAGAGATGTAGTGTTTGGGGGCAGAAACTCTATCTGCACACCGTCATATTGCAGGTCCGTTGCATGGCCTCCTGCACAGTCCATCAGGAGAAGGACCTTAAAGGGGAGGCCCTTTTCAGCCAGATACAGCTTCACCTGGGGAATGAAGCAATGGAGGAACCATTCAAGGGTCAGAGCTTTTGTTATCCAGGCCTTGGAGTTATGCATCCAGAACACGGGCAACAGGGCCATATTTTTGTTTTTTAATGCCCGTGGTTTTTTGGCTTTATAAATGAGGCCTGGCTTAAGCATAAAACCTGCAGCATTGCCAGTCATGATGACAGTCACACGGTCTTTGTGAGCCTTGAAGCCTGGCCTCTTCACTTCGTTCTTGAAGAGGAATGTACGTGAAGGCATCCTCTTCCAAAAAAGGCCTGTTTCATCCATGTTAAAAACTTGTTCAGGAAGGTAGCCTCCCTCACTAATGAGGTTAGGAAACTTTTCCTCCACGTAACACAACAAGCAGCATCGTTGTCAGCAGAGGAAGCCTCACTATACAGAAGCACATTTCTGAGGCCGTATCTTTTTTGAAATTTTTCAAACCAGCCTTTGCTGGCTGAAAAGCCTCGTCCGCGAGGAGGCGAATCACTCCTGGCAGCGCTAGTACTGGCTTGAGGTTCGTCAGCACCTTCTTCAGCCTCTTCATTGTCGTCATCGGGCAAGATTTGGTCGTAGAGAGCTTTGGCCTTTGTCCTGATCATATTAGTGTCCACACTTACTGTCTTTTTCCTGCAATCAGCAATCCACAATGCCAGTGCACCTTCCATTTTCACAATACTGTTATTACGCGGAGTTATCACACGTTTTGCTTCTTTGTTGAAGGTTATTGAAGCAGTTTTGCGGATGTTTGCCTCCGCTTTCTTGATGTACCGCACTGTAGATTCATTCACCCCGTAATGGCGTGCCACAGATGCATAACTTCTGCCCTCTTTGATCATATCTAAAAGTTTCACTTTTTCGCTGTTGGTCATCATCTTCTTCCTCTTGGGCGCCCCGGAGGAAGCTTTCGCAGGGGCACAGCGCTTAGGCGGCATTATAAGGGCTCCTTCATGCAGGGATCCTTCTCTCTCGCGCATCAACACAATGTGGCTGCTGACCCGCGAAGCACTGAAGCCGCAAAACATGAAGCGCGAAGTGGCAAGGGAACACTGTATTTGTTATTACCTGCAGCCTTGGCTTCTTCCTATGTTGTCGTCTGGCAGTGCAAGACGTTCTGAAATTAGAAAACCCACTGCACAGCTAACCGATTGATACATTTTATTATTTGAGAAATTCCTGGTGTAATAGAAGAATCCATTCCTGCTTCTTAGCTGGTGTCAAAGCTTTTGGGGGGTGCGGTGGAAGGTAGATCTCTGAACAACCATATGCTATGACATGCCAGGATCAAGATGCTTACCTAGCACTATGTAGGAAAACGTGTGAAAATATGTAAAAAAAAAATGCTGTGTCTTTCTGGGTTGGCCTTCATATTCTGTTTTGAGTTTGCTTGGGGCAAACACAAAATGTGCATGTTAGTTTTTAAGATGCACATCATGGCTTCTGTCTGCGTAGCATCTTTTATCTACTAATGCTGCAAATTGGATCTTTTTTTTTTTTTTTTTTTTTTTTTTTTTTTTTTTCCCCCACAACGTCATCTAGTAATTAAAGAGTGGATTCCTGTTTCTAGGGAAGCAAAGAAAAGCAGTGTTTCATCTATTTTTATATGACTCAGACTTTCACACAGTGATGTGTTAAGGAGAGAGAGCCACCCATGAGTGCTACATATTAGAATTTTATTGCATCGTGGTACTGTCATATGGACCTCCTTTTTTCTTTATTTAAAGAAAAAATAGGGTTATGTATGAAACAAAAAACTGTAGTGAGATTGTTTTAGGGCAGTTATAAACACTGCCTTTAAGATTTTTTTTTTTTTTTTTTTTTCCAAATGTCTGTAATAGAAAAAAAAGGGATGCATACCCTGCCTTATTATACAAAATATGAATAAGGCTTCAGTAAATGGGCAGAGGCTGTAAATATCGGAATCTCTAAATATCAGAATCACTAACTAAATATTGACCTAACTGCTAAACCTTTACATTAAAATGGCATACATACAGCAGGTAAAATAAGTATTGATCACCTCACCATTTTTCTCAGGTTTTTCTAAAGGAACTATTGAAATTTTCACCTCGTCAGCAACGACCCATGAAATCCATACATACAAAGAAACCAAAACAAATTAGTATAGAAATTAAGGTATGTGTATATAAAATGGAATGACATGGGGAAAAGGTATTGAACACATGAAGAAAGGGAGGTGCAAAAATGCATGAAAAGACACCGCTGAAATCCATCAGTAATTAGAATACAATCCTGCCCCTTGTCAGTGCAATTAATATCAGCTGGTTCAGTCTCAACTGATGGCCTGTAAAAAGGTGTCTTATTACCAAGGTGTTACACAAGAAACCTCTCATGATAGGTAAAAGCAAAGAGCTCTCTAGACCTTTACAACCTTGTTGCAAAACATACTGATAGCATCGGTTACAGAAAGATTTCTAAACACCTGAATGTTCCAGTGAGCACTGTTGGGGCTATAATCTGGAAATAGAACATCATTTCACCATAAACCAGCCACGACCAGGTGCTTCTCACAAAATTTCTGATGGACAACTCTTCTGATAATTCTTTTCACTTCTCTAAGAGCCAAGGACCACTTATGGAGAGCTTCAGAAAGACCTGGAATTTGCAGGTACAATTGTTTCAAAGAAAACTATAAGTAATGCACTCAACCGCCATGGCCTGTATGCATGCTCACTTCACAAGACTCCATTGTTGAAGAAAAATCATGTTCGAAGCTCGTTTAAAGTTTGCTGTTCAACATTTAGACAAGCGTGTGAAATACTGGGAGAATATAGTCTGCTCAGATGAGACCAAAATTGGACTCTTTGGATGCCATAATACACACCATGTTTGGAGATCAATTGGCACTGTAGATCACCCCGAAAACACCATACCAACAATCAAGTTTGGACTGGAGGTAGGAACATCATGGTGTGGGGCTGTTTTAGCATATGATACTGGCAAACTTCATGTCATTGAAATAAGGATGAATGGAAAAATGTGCCAAGATATTCTTCATAAAAATCTGCTGTAATCTACCAGGATGATGACGTGAGGGTGGACATTTTAGCAAGACAATGACCCCAAACACCATGCCAAGGAAACTCTCAATTGGTTTCAAAGAGAGGAAAATAAAGCTCCTAGAAGGGCCCAGCCAATCGCCTTACTTGAATCGAATAGAAAATCTATGGAAAGAACTAAAGATCAAAGTTAATAGAAGAGGCCCAGGAACCTTCAAGACTTGAAGACTGTTTTTGTGGAGGAATGGAACCAAATCACACCTGCATTCAAGACATAACGCCCTGTGGGTGGGGCGAAACGCGTTGACGCACTTCCGGTTGCCTGTTCCGGCGTCTGACGTCATTTCCGGTGAGTGGAACGCACGCCGAGCGGTGCGTTCCAAGGGGCCATCTTAGCATAGTGGATGAGTCTGCATCTGAGGTCTGCCATCCTGCTGTATACTAGGCTGTGGGGTCTTTTTATGCAAAAGTCGCTGTACTTGGAAAGTGGATCGTTTTTTAAAGGAAATCGTTGTTGTTTCAAATAAAATGCGGGGTATATCCCGCTAAAATGTGAGTGGTCTGGAGAGATTATTTTGATGAGAAACCACTACGGTATCACGCTATGGTCTTTTCTTCTTCCTGATTTTCCTTGGGGGATTCGGTGAGAGGAGTAACCAGAAGAGGTACCCATATACAAGAGGAAGCAGTATTTGGAGGTCTCATAAAAAGTAAAGGGGGTCCAGGAGCCCTTAAAATTCCTGAAAGGCGTGTGACTCACTAATATCTGGTGAGTGCGGTTAATGTTGGTTTTTGCACTGGTGGATGGTAAAGGGATCAAAGGCACGGAAGAATCCAATGAAAATTATAATTTAAATTACAATTTGACTTATTTTGTCACGGGACTGTTAATTTATATAATTTTTTGGGATTTTTTTGTCACTGGATTTATGAATTTAAAAATTATTTATATATTTATTTTATATATATATTTTTTTTATATTTTTTTTACTAGCACAAAAGTGGTTTTGTGTCACGGTTTTTAAGTTTGTTTAATAGGTTGGGTAATGCAATTTATTATGTGGGTTTGCGCTGGTATTTATTGATATAAGTTTTTTTGGTTTTTGCACCTGTGTACAGCAGCATCCCACGGGGAATTGTGTGTGTTTAATAGGAGAGTCCTGGGCGCTGAGGTTTTTTTTCTTTTTTACATAACTTAAATTAGCTTATTTGTTTTGGTTTCATTGTATGTATGGATTGTTAACATGTGGTGAACATTTTATGTCAATAGCACCTTTAGAAATCTATTTACTGAGCAAATGGTGACATGTTCAATACTTATTTTACCTGCTGTATATAACTGATTGAAATGGTGACCTGCAACTCTGGCCTACCAATCCTTTCCTAATGCAGGGGTCCCCAAACTTCCTAAGCAAAGGACCAGTTTACTGTCTGTCAGACTTTAAGGGGAGCCAGACTGTGCCCAGTGAGAGTAAATGATGTCTCATCTTTAGTATTAGGGGAATATATAGTGCTCCATCGGTGTCAGTGGCAGGAATGATGTGATTGTTGGTGTCCGTGGCAAGCATAATGCCTCACGGGCTGGATAAAGGCAAACAAAGAGCTACAGTTTGGAGGGCACTGCCCTATTTAGGATGTTGAGGCTAAACCTGAAAATGCCTAGTGAATCAAAGAGCTTTAGCTGCCTGTGCGCTGCTGTGAAATGAGAATGAGGATTCCCTCCAACATTCCAGATACCGATGCATGCATTTTTAAAAACTTTTAAAGTAATTACATCATAGAAAATCAGATGTGTAATAGCCATTTCATTTATGCTCTGTCTTCTTTCAGAGCTGAAGGGGTGATGAGGACTATGGTGCCAGAAAAACTGCTAAAGGGCATGCCTATACTACAAGGACAGATTGATGCTTTGCTGGAATTTGACGTAAGTTGAACTTGCCTATGGATTCATGCTGGATGGGTAATTTTCTGAAAGCTCTTTGGCACAACTGCTTGATTATTTTCCTAGTGGCAGGTTTAAATCTTAAATTGGTTACCAGTGACCCAAGTAGCCTAAAGCCTTATTCACGCTGGCACTGTCAAACCTGTGTTGTATGCATTTAGAGGACCTTTCTAAACGAACATACAGTAAATGCATGTGGTGATCTCTCAATGGTACCATTCACACTGTGCAGCGTTATCTGCATTTCAGGTGCAATCAGTTTAGCTGTGTTTAGAAAAAAATAGTCCAGAAACAGATTGGAAACTCTAAATGCGATTAAACAAGTCTAAATGTGTCTAAAGCCCTGAATATATTAGAAAGATGGATGGAAATATCCATATTCAGAACGATAGTTCAATTTTCTGTTCGCTTAGTATACAGCTTTTGAGAGCCAATGTTGACTGTTCAGATGAAAGTTTCCGAAGGGACATGTTGTACATTTTTTCTCGTTCGTTACCAGAACGAACAATTTTTGTTTAGTATAATATCCCTCCTTAAATTGAGCAAGATCACATATGATCAGAAACAAAGAACAATCTGGAATAAGATGGCAACAAAAATAATTTTTGTAAACGTGAAATAATTTGTGTAAACTGTAATAAAAGATATTTTTAAGGAGATATAAACAGAAAATTCTGTCATGGTGATAGGTGACTAGCAGTATATAGTTTCAGGATATATTTTAGCTTTTGGACTGCAAACAAAAAGGGTTATAATTGTTTTGTTGTTAACTTTTTGTTTTAATTATTATTACTATGACTAGAAGGGCCACACGCACATTACATCACTTCTGATTCTATGCTGGAATTTGGCTACGTACTTGAAGTTTTCCAGTGCTGTTTGAGAATATTCATACCATTTAATGGCAATCTAGTTTTCAACATGGTATGAACATTTGAGAAAAAAAAAATCAAGTGATTGTTCGATTTTCTAATAATGTGTACTAGGCTTAAAGCGTAACCCCACTTTTGCTGGCAACATATTCCCCTCTGGGTGATCTATGTACGTCCCAAAAATTTTAACAAACTTTGTTGCAGATTCCTATCTTTTGTTTTGAAGAAACAGCTGTTTGTCTGTGTCCATGTGCAATGTGAAGGAGAATGAGAGTAGTTTCATAATTATCAATCATCTGCTGCACCTGCAGGCCTCTGAGGAAAGTGGCAGGGTCTGCATCCCTTTAGACGTAGTTTCCCTTTGGGAGTATATCACCAAAAATGACATTTTTTGTTGTAGGGGATGCTCAAAATCTAACTTGTGTCTTAGTGCAGACTTCTGGGAAAATCAGCCTATCAAACAAGCAGGAAATTACATTCCTGGGAGTGTTCTGTACATCATCTGTGTAAAGCAATCTCCAGGTAGCTATATTGCATTGCAATTTTACCGAGGATTACAGCGTTGCAGATTGAAAAGGAAATGTAATTTTTAATCAATTACAATATGACTTGTATAGGCTACATTTAGTTTTTTGTTTTTTTTAATTAATTTCTTTTCCCATGAAAGAGGAGGAGTTGCCCTTGTAAGACTGCTTTAAATCAGGAATGTCTAATCACAGGAAAAAAAATGATCTGAGAGGTATAAAGGTTTATACTTCACAGATAACGTAGCTTTTCCAAATGCAGGAGTGACTGTGTGAATGAAACCTAAGAACTATATTTGGCACTTTTCTGGGTACTTCTGTCTGCAAAAATAAATTCCCCACAAGAGTAATGTTTTTAACACAATTCACATTTTGTGAGATGAATTTTATATCTGATCTATTGTGTGAAGCGCAGCTCCAGAATCTGCTTGTCCTCAGTCCTAGGTAAAGGAGGTGCTGCCCTGGAGAGCATGTCCTTGCTCTAATACTCTGCAAAATCTTTACAAGGAAGGCTGCACACTAATGAGGTCATTCTGTAAGATCGGTTATTTAAGGTCTGTAACGCTGATGGTCCCCACCAACATCAATGCCCCTTTGATGCATTTCACCCTCATCTACGATTAAGCCCTATCAGACTGAATTTCAATCCATCAATGGCCAGCTTTACAAGTTTAAATTGCATTCAGAGATCATATCCACATCCAATTGTATGCTATACACCAGTAATCTAGGGAAATCTGCTGAACAGCCTCTGTCTGAGGCTTTATTTTTTTCACTGGAGAACAAGAATCTAGAAATAAGTACAAAGATTGCTGAAAACTGCAGAGTCGTGAAAATGAAGAAAATGGCTAAACTTTTTCTGACTTGCATCTGGTTAGTATGTGTTTTTTTTTTTTTTCTCTTTTAATGCCAATTAAAATGGTTTTAATGCAGATTATGGGTAATCCCATGATTATGAAAGATGTCAGCCAAATCAAGACGGGTTTTAAAGCTCTGACCACTTGCTGTTATGCTTTGCTACTTTTAACAGTTAAGAACTACTTATAGAATATTGCAGACAGAAGAATCTGTGCCAGTTGTGACAGAAATGTGTTTCCCAAACTTTCATCACTCGGCACAGACTCAGAGCTACCTGTGCTATTGTTAACTTGTGTATGCACAGCTACATTATTGTAGCACTGCTCTAGCTGGACCATATGTCAGTGCAGAGTTTTCTTGACTAGGATCTGCTTTACAAACTCAAACTCCTACTGAAAATTTTTTACAGCTATTCCCTTCACCTCATTAGGAGCACTTTGCTTGTTCAGAAAGTTGGCATTCTCCTGTCTTCAAAATGATCATGGACCTCAAACAGCAGGGCCAAATCTAGTCTGCCTGATGTGGGGGTGCAGTAAAAATTTCGGGAGGCAGAGGATGGGGGTCAGCAGTTTGCAGGGTAGAGGACAAAGGGGCATCAGGACAGTGTACAGGGGGGCAGCTAGGCAAAGGATGGAAGGTCAGCAGGGGATTGTACAGGAATTGGCAGGACAGTGTACAGAGCACAGGGGTCATTGCTGGCAGGTCAGAGGACAGGGTTCACATTTTACTTTACCCACAGCCACGATCTGCACAGTGTGTAGCTGCGTACTATGTTGCAGATTGTGGCTGTGTGTAAAGTAATGTTATCTTAGCTGTGTGTAGTGTGGATACCATAGATGCAGATGTATCTTGTGTACTAAAACAAAAGTATAGACAAATGCCAAATTCACAGAAGTGTGAACTATTTTATTTGCCAAAAATTTGTAATTCTGTTAAGTCAAGTTTCCAGTCCAGACAACTCTGCCAGGCAGCACAGCCAGGTCATTGGCCTTATTATCCTCTGCTGTAGGTAAAGGCATAACTAAAGGCAAAACTTTTTAGTTTTGAAAAGTGGAGAGGGGTCAGAACATCAGTCAGGTTTTTATTGCGGTCTGTGCCACTCTCTCAGTTTGTCATGTTTGGGATTTTCTTTTACTTTTTGGTGATGGACCATAAACAGGTTGTTCCCAGACCAATAGTAGAGGGGAAATCTTCCAAAGGGGACACATCTCAGTGCGACACAGATGGCAAAAAACTCACTGGGTATAATCCTCTTACACTGTAGTTTTACCTTTTTTGAGTTCTACTTTCAAAGCTATACACCTTGGCAAAGGAAGGACTATGGCCTATGACTGGATATTGAATGAGCAGCAACACATGGATAGGCTCAGCCCTATGTTCTTTTCTTCTATAAGCCAGCCCAGTGTATAATGCTGTAAAGCCTGATTGGTTTACAGTGCTGTCCCTTCCTCTCCCAGTATAAAGACTGCAAATATACAAACAGAATAAAGGGGGGGGGGGTTATTTAAAAATATATTTAATGTACATTTCTAGAAAAATGGTTTTTCTAGCACACGGGTGTCAAACGGATTGCCCTCCAGCTGTTGCCAAACTACAATTCCCATGAGGCATTACAAGATTGATAGTTACAAGCATGACTCCCAAAGGCAGAGGCATGATGGGACTTGTAGTTTTGCAACAGCTGGAGGACCACCAGTTTGAAACCCCTGGCACATGCAGTTGTATGATGTAGTGATCAACCACAAATAATTGGAGCATTGAGATAAAATCTGTGATAAATTGCTGCTAAAGCCCTGTACAAATGAGAATATTGAATGGATGATCGTCCGTTTTTTTTTTTTCTTTTGCATGCCAGTCTCGTATCTATAATGAAAAGGTTACTAAAGCTACAAAAATTCTCATAGGACAGAATAAAAATTTGGAAGTGATGTCATGTATTGTAATGTATTTGTATTGTTCTTTTCAGACAAAAACTGTACTTATTAAATTGTACGATGTATCATACGAAAAACATTTTTGTGCTTGTCCCTTGAAATAATTTCAGACTAAAGCTGTGTACGAATGATCAAATTATCATACAGTCATTGCAAAAGTGGTATTTTTTTTTTTGTAGGATTTTCTGATTGTACTGGGCTTAAATGCTTTTGTTCCCTATGTATAGCCAGTGATGTACAATCAGTAGCAGTTAAAGGATAAGTTTACCGTTCATAACATGTTACACCCATATTTAGGGTGTAATGTGTTATGAATTCACAGGCCCCTGCTCTGCTGCTTTGACTCGCTAGCTGTCAAATTTTTAAAAAATGCGGCTGTGCAGGGCTGTGCCTGCCTGGCTGCGTCACTCATTTACTGTGTTCAGTGAATGAGAAACTACAAGTCCCATCAGCCTTAGCTCCTGTCGTCTTGTAGTTCTCAATGAACTACCACAGCTCTGTAGAGTACCATGGTAGTTCATTGAGTCTTCCTGTCAGCATATGTGCTTTGCCTGTATATCCCATACAGGCAAGCGGATATATTGACAGTTCTGCAGAAGACCTGCATGGCACCAGTGATCTGCTGATTACTGGTGCAATGCTGTAGAGGCTCCTGCAACAAAAAATAAATGCCTTTTTTTTTTTTTTCCTGCAAAAATTGTGCATTTATTATTTTTTTTTTTGTATAAAGGTGAACTTATCCTTTAAACTGATAAGTTCCCCCCCCCCCCAAAAAAAAACCCAATCTTTTCAGTTCACTTTTGCAGTAATTAAAGTGGAGTTCCAGACTTTTTTTTTTTTTACAAAAACTGAAGCTGCTGACTTTTAATAAACACACACTTACCTGTCCCAGGGTCCAGCGATGTGCTCACCTGTGCCGTCCATTCTCCCCTTCACGGTGCCAGCATTTCAACTGTGGGCACCAGACTGTGACAGCTTGCGGCTTCACAGCCTGGTGCCCACTGCATATGCACGAGTCGTGCTGCACCTCCTGATTATTTCGGAAGTCTTCTGGGATCTGTGAAAGTTCCCAGGAGATTGCAGGAGGGAGGGGGCTGAAGCGAACTGAGCCCGAAGTGGGAGCTGGTACCTGTCAAAAACGAGTATCTGCTCCCCCTTCCCCTCCAAAAGGTGCCAAATATGGCAGTGGAGGGGGGGAGGAGGCAGATTAACCGGAGCTTTCGCTTTTGAGTTCCACTCCGCTTTTAAGAACAGTCAATGCTTTTTGGTTAGATAAGACTTAGGATCGGTAAGTCTGTTTTTAGATAAGGTGATTAACAAGTCTAGGATTTTGTTGCCTATACACTGTTACCAGTATTGTTACTTTGCATCTTGAAGGACACATCACTAGTTGATTGTCGATTTAGTTATTGCATGCTACATAGCTATATTTTTTCATATATTTGGTGATCATAAACTGGTTTGCTTTTGTTAACAGGTTCATCCAAATGAACTGACAAATGGAGTTATAAATGCTGCTTTTATGCTTCTTTTTAAAGACCTCATCAAACTTTTTGCTTGTTATAATGACGGTATTATTAATTTATTGGGTGAGTATATGTACAGTTTCTTATGCAAGTTGTGTGTATTTATGATAAAGTCAAAAGTGTTGAATTGAACATATAGTATATATTTTAGCAAATCATTTGCTTAATTCCTGGAATTGTCTGACCAATTTCTATGGTACTAGTACTGGCTAGTGGCTTTTATATATATATATATATATATATATATATATATATATATATATATAATGTATATGTGTGTGTGTGTATATACAGTTGCAAGAAACAATATGTGAATCCCTTGGGATTACGTGGAGTTTTGCATGAATTGGGCATAAAATGTGCTCTGAACATCATCTAAGTCATAACAATAGAAGAACACAGTCTGCTGAACATAATACTACACAAACATTAGATGTTGCCATGGTTTAATTGCACATATATGTAAACATTCACAGTGCAGGGAGGAAAAAGTATGTGAGGCCCTAGCTTAATGACTTCTCCCAGAGCTAATTGGAGCCAGGAGTGAGCCAACCTTGACTCCAATCAGTGTGATGATATTGGATGTGTTGCTGACAGCTGTCCTGCCCTTAAAAAAAACACACACCTGTTTTGTGTTTACTGGTTTCAAGAAGCACTGTCTGATGTGAACCATGTCTCGCAGAAAAGAGCTCTCAGAAGACCTACGATCAAGAATTGTTGACTTGCATGAAGCTGGAAAGGGTTACAAAAGTATCTCCAAAAGCCTTGATGTTCATGTGTCCACGGTAAGACACTGTCTACCAATGGAGAAAGTTTAGCACTGTTGCTACTCTCTCCCTAGGCGTTGTTGTCCTGTAAAAATGACTGCAAGAGCACAGCGCAGAATGCTGCATGAGGTAAAGAAGAATTCCAGAGTGTCAGCTAAAGACCTACAGAAATCTCTGGCACATGCTAACGTTTTTGTTGACACATCTACAATAAGGAAAACATTAAACAAGAATGAAGTACATGGGAGGACACCACGGAGGAAGCCATTGCTGTCCAAAAAGAATATTGCCGCACGTTTGAAGTTTGGAAAAGAGCACCTGGATGTTCCACAGCACTACTGGCAAAATATACTGTGGACAGATGAAACCAAGATTGAGTTGTTTGGGAAGAACACACAACACTATGTGTGGAGAAAAAAAGGCACAGCACACCAACATCAAAACCTCATCCCCACTGTAAAACATGGTGGAGGGAGCATCATAGTTTGGGGCTGCTTTGCTGCCTCAGGGCCTGGACGGATTGTTGTCATTGATGGGAAAATGAATTCCAGAGTTTATCAAGACATTTCGCAGGAAACTGTACGACCATCTGTCCGCCAACTGAAGCTCCGCAGAGGATGGGTGATGCAACAGGACAATGACCCAAAGCATACAAGTAATTCAACAAAACAATGGCTGCAACAGCACAGAATACGCCTTCTGGAGTGGCCCAGTCAGAGTCCTGACCTCAACCCGATTGAAATGCTGTGGCATGACCTTAAGAGAGCGATTCACACCAGACATCCCAAGAATATTGCTACACTGAAACAGTTTTGTGAAGAGGAGTGGTCCAAAATTACTCCAGATTGTTGTGCAGGTCTGATCTGCAACTACAGGAAACGTTTGGTTGAGGTTATTGCTGCCAAAGGAGGGTCAACCAGTTATTAAGTCCAAAGGTTCACATACTTTTTCCTCCCTGCACTGTGAATGTTTACATGTTATGTGCAATTAAACCATGGCAACATCTAATGTTTGTGTAGTATTATGTTCAGCAGACTGTGTTCTTCTATTGTTGTGACTTGGATGACGTTCAGAGCACATTTTATGCCAAATTCATGCAAAACTCCATGTAATCCGAAGGGGTTCACATACTTTTTCTTGCAACTGTAAGTACCTGTAATAAACTACACGGTGGCCTCTTTTTTTTTTTTTTTTTTTTATATCTGTATCATGGCTAACGGCTATTGCTTTGTTAGGAAGTCGCTGAAGAACTTGAGTTGGGTATACTTGTGTTTTGGTGTGCTTAAAGATGTTAACTTTTTGTTTTTCTGGGATTTTTTTTTATGCTAGAGAAATTTTTTGAAATGAAGAAAAGTCAGTGTAAAGATGCTCTAGAAATTTATAAACGATTTCTGACGAGAATGACAAGGGTTTCAGAGTTCATGAAAGTTGCAGAGGTAAGAGGTTTTTCAACACTAGTAAATGTTACTGATGAAACCTACTGCCAGTCCTATTGTCAGGTCTTATTTAAAGGAGTATTCCACTTTAATTCAAAGCTGTACCCCTATTTTAAACCCCACCTTAAGTTGTCAGCAACTGTTGCTCACGTGTTTCCTGGACTAATTTAATTAGTGCTTATATATACCTTGGTAAACCCCACTGTAGAGGCCCGTCCACACCACAGTGCAATGCAACGTGTCCCTTTTTGGGATTTGTAGCTCCATTTTGCATGGGTTTTTAGTGTATTTCAACACACAGAAAAAGTGGTGCCGACAGACCTTTTAGATTGTTGTGAATGATTGCATAGCTGCATCACAGAACACTGTGTTTTCATTTCAAATGCATATTATAGTGCTTTCCCATAGCTTGCATTGTGGTGTAAAGGAGTCCTAATGGTGTGAATGAGCAGTGATACTAGGTCATACAATTGCTAAATGAACTTGATGTGCAAAGTGAAAGATCTAGGTCTGCATTTTGTTTTGTGTTAATAAGAATGCTGATTAGTCCTCTGCAGAAAGAACACAGAAAACAAGAGTCCAACTCTGCAGCTGCTGACAGGGGTTAGGCTTTGCTGCTCATGCTGTGGCTGTTTTAGAGAGAAACCAAACTTTAATTGTGTGTTTTGATCCACATGAAATACATTTTAACTGATTAAACTTTCAATTGGGCTTTAAAAAATTGTGACATAAGCAGAACTACAAATATTATGGCATCCATTGTGAACGTTTGATGGGGTCCTCCGGCTTTCTCGGTGAACTGTGACAATACTATGTGTCACTGATCTCAACATGAAGTATGTCTAAATCAAGGATAGCCAACAGGACAGCTGTCAGCACAGTCAGTACACTACTAAGGAGCAGTTCTGTGGATAGAAGTTGTAGTAGCAATACCAATAACCATATCAACTGTAAGTTGTGCTTTGTGTTCACATGGGGTGGAATCAATTTTTGCTCAGCAGGGGATCTGTTCCTGAAGAGCAGGCGGATGACAGGTCCATGACCTGGAGACAGCCCACTCTGCTCTATGGGTGGTCAAGTATAAATGAACTGACTGTCCGTTTACACCCAACTGCCCTCTGATCCCGCTCCGTCTAGGTGAAATGAATCCTCTTGTGGTGTTGTTTTTTTTTTTTTTTTTTTTTAAATTTAGCAGATTGGATTGGAGGAAAGATGCCTAAGGCCTCATGCAAACTGAATTTAAACACCCCTTTCACAGGCGTTGAGCATTTTCTTTTTCCCAGCCTGTAAAAGCACCTCCATGTAAGCCTATAGGGTTGATTTATTAAAACTGGAGAGTGCAAAATTCTGTGCAGCTGTGCATGGTAGCCAATCGGCTTCTAACTTTAGTTTGTTGAATTTGAAATAAAAAACCTGGAAGTTGATTGATTTCTCTGCAGAGCTGTACTAGATTTTGCACTCTCCAGTCTTAGTAAATCAACCCCTGTATATCTGTGCAGGTATATTAGAGGAGCGTTTACAGGCAGATGCCCTGTATACATGAGGCCTAAAACGTCCAATAAAAAGGGGTTATATAATTTAATGCAAATAAAAACCGTGTTTGAAAAAAACAATCTATTTTACTATACACCGTATCTATTTGTAGTATTATGATCTTCTGCATTCACAAATATGAGTATATCCATTTATTTTATTATAGCAAGTCGGCATTGACAAAGGAGACATTCCTGACCTTACACAAGTAAGTACTTATTTTAATACATTGACTGTAAAATATTAAAAATACATTTGACAGGCTCAATTAAAAGAAAAAAAAGTTTATAAACAATTGTCATATATTTCAGTTTTGGTGAATTGCACTCTGATAAAACACAGAAACCGTAGTAGTTGTTGACTATCTGATACTGCTAGTTGTGGGCAAACATAATTTACTGATGTGCAAATGTCAGCTTGTAGCAACACAGGAGGACAATTTGCACTTATGTATTTTTTCCTTCTGATGCATTTTTCCATTGAAACATATATAAGCTTGGCAAAATGCTTGCCAACACGTGTTAACACACATTTCTAACACGTGTTGCATGTTTCAAAACGCATCATAATGCACATTGACCTGCATTGAGGCACATCATGATTTATTGACATGCATTAATGTACATCGGCATGCACCTTAAAGCATCCCATGGCATGTATATTAATGAGTTTCTGCTTATTTCAAAGAAAAATGAATAGGTGTGAATAGGGTCTGAATCCAAATGAAATCCATCAAGGGGCAGATAGGAAATGACCATGTTTATAGATAACATCTATGGGCCCATTGATGTTAGATTACAATTTGAATGGATTTTATCTGCCTGAAAAAAAAAAAGGTTTTTGTTGCAACCTGTTATTTACACATGCAAAGTAGAAGAGTACTTGAATATGCAGCTGTCAAGAAAATAGACAAACCTAAAACAATTGGACAAACTGAGCTGCAATATTAATTGTTTCTTTTCTTTAAGGACGGTACCATCGATGAACCGGTAATTGATTTACTTGTGTAATACTTTGCCAACATCTCTTTATTCAAAATCTCTATTTCCTTTTGAGATCACGGCTTATATTTTTGTGGGAACACATATATTCTTCCTGACCGTTTCTATGTCTCTTTCCAATTAATCAAAACACACTTCCTGTATGGAGACAAAATAATATAAATGACGTCTGGCTGATTTGTTTACAATCATTACACTTTGCACTGTTTTTAGTTTTCCAAATGTTCTTGATTTAAAGGAGAACTCCATGCATTGGTTGGGGTGTAAACATCAGGGTTGTTAAGATGTTTGTTGCTCTTCAAGATATGCCTATTTTTACAGGCAGAGTGAGCTCAAAAAGTGCCAAGTCCAGTAGATGCAGAGTTGGCAGCAGAAAATGTTCCTGGTGACTTGAGAAACAAATTTGTCTCATTTAAAAAGGGTGCAGAGGAATAGCTCAGGTGCTCATCTTAATGGACGAGGGTAACTAAGCTGTGGTGATGGTTACATCTTTTGTTTACTTCACCTGAAAGCCCAAGGTGGAGTTCTCCTTTTAAGAATCGGCTTGTTTTATGTCTTGCTTGATATGGTAGGACCTCAATCTCCCTGGGAGGCTATGGATCTTTTCCCAAGCACCTGTTCTATTTTACTATTTCTGTGTGGCTTTTCAGCAGAGGGAGACAAATCCTTTTGTGCTTTTATGTTTTAGTCAAGTTAAAGTATTAGTATCAGTTGGCTAGAAGCATGTATTTGCATTTTCCTCTTTGTTAATATGATATATTTTTGATTCACAGGCTCCCAGCAGCCTCATGGAAACTCTCGAGCAACATTTGAATACACTGGAAGGAAAGAAAGGCAGCAGGTTAGTAGCCATAAATGGATTTGTAATTAAGTGATTTACCATCATGGTTCATATATTGACAATAGGAAAATCTGCTTCAAGAAAAGGTAGATTTGACCTTTTTAAAGTACTAGTTGTCCTGCTTAATTACATAGTTCCGTAGTTTGTCTGGCTGAAAAAAGACAAAAGTCCATCCAGTTCAACCATATATAAAAAAAAAAGTTATCAGATACCCAGAGAGAGGCAAAAAAAAACCCAGCATGATCCAATTTGCTCCTGCAGGGAAAAAAATTCCTTCCTGATCCCCCCGAGAGGCAATCTGATATTTCCTGGATCAACTTTACCTATAAATATTAGTATCCAGTTATATTCTGTGTATCTAAGAAATAATCCAGGCCTTTTTTTTAAAGCAATGCACTGAGCCAGTACCAACTCTTGAGGGAGTCTATTCCACATTTTTCACAGCTCTCACTGTGAAGAAACCTTTCTGTGTTTTGGAAATTAAATTTCTTTTCCTCAAGATGTAAAGAGTGCCCCCTTGTCCTCTGTGATGACCTCAGGGTGAATAACTACACCGAGTTCACTATATGAACCACTGATGTATTTATACATGTTGATCATATCCCCCCTTAATCTCTTCTTCTCAAGAGAGAATAAATTCAGTTCCTCTAATCTTTCCTCATAGCTGAGCTCCTCCATGCCTCTTATTAGTTTGGTTGCCCTTCTCTGTATGTTCTCCAGTTCCCCAATGTTCTTTTTGTGAATTGGTGCCCAAAACTAAACTGCATATTCCAGATGAGGTATTCGTGAATGAGGTGAAGTGCCGCTGACTCATTGGCCAATTGTGTGCAAGTAAAAAATGCTTTTTTTAAATATTTATTTTTTTGTTAATTTTTATAGATTGGGTATCCTTTGCAAAGTAGAATTTCAACACAATCCCAAAGGTCGGGGGAAATTTCCCTTGCAAAGTTCAACTTCCATTGTAAATCAAACAACCGATTTACCTTTTAATAAACATCTATAAGTTGCTAATGGTTCAATACAATTCAAAAGCAGCTTCTCTGTTACTTTCGCACGTCAAATCGACTCAGAAGCACATGAAAACAGACTGCGTTTTGACTTGCTTTTGAGGCTGAAGCCCATCTATACAAACCCTAGGTACTCCTAGACATTAGATGAGAAACTAGCTGTTGTTAGGGAAGTTCTGCCCATAGTGTAAATGGAGTTCCAAGGCTCATAGATGTGCAGGTGTGGGCCTGTGGGTACTTGTATAGCTGTGCACAGACATGCGCATATGGGCCTTTAAACTCCATCTGCACTCTCAGCAGAATGTCTCTGACAGCTGCATCAGTAGAACGTGTTTGTGGCAGCAGCAAATACCTCCAGTTGGTGGCTTGCCAGGAAGTGAAGAGATCCAGATAGGTTGAAAAAAAAACTTCCCTAATCTCTTTTGTTTTCCCTCTGAGAATCTGGCTCTGAATGTGCCAACAGTATGCTGTTCACATGGCGTGACCATTTAGATTTAGGGAGCTGCTATCACTCTCAGGTCCCAGGTCAGTCAATCCAGGCTTAACAGGCGTGCTTTAATGACAGCAGTGTGTGCGATTGGCTGGCCTTGTTGACAAATCAGAGTAGAACTTGTAGAGCGGCGCTCTGGCTGAGAAAAAAGGCCTTGAACACCTGGTCCACACCAGCTGAGATCGACTGTGTGGACCCTCCTTCTGAAGTTTGGATTTGGACTGGCATGGCATCATGGAAGTGTACTGCGACTGCACTCCCACTCTGTGTAAAATCGCCAGGCCAAGAGCGAGCCCACTGATTTCAGTTAAACATATAGTCTCTCCCATAGGTCCATTCTGCTGCTCAACCATTTGTGAGGTGTAGTTCAAGAAGTGGTGTGATAACCAGTTATCCAAAGACAGAAACTACATGTCCCAAGATCTTCTGCTTTAATCCACAACAGTCACTCTCCACTCGGCTACCAGGAAATGAGATAGACTTCGGTATCAAAGGCAATAAAGGGGAAATAAATGTTAGGTTAATTGTTCCTGAGTGATGTTTTACTTCATGATGTCTATTGTGAATCCTACATTTCTGTTGATTTCTGGTAGGAAACATCTCAGGTCATGTAATACCAACCTATACATTTTTAAAAGCAAAATAAAATAGGTTTGTACATTTTTTTATTTTTTTTCAGCTGTAAACTAATTACTAATCTTATATAATTGGTCTGTTCCCTGTAAAATATGCTATATTGTTTATAGAGCAACACTGCACTAACAATTTTCCTTTAATTCTTTGCATTCTGGATCATCAGTGAAGGGTAGGTATATTGCTGTATGTGTCTGTGTACTTTATATAATAGACATGTTCTATCTAATTTTCCCTAAACTGTCAATGGTCAGTGCACCACTTTTGTAAGAGAAACCATTTCATAGCTGTGCTGTGTTAATAATATTATTTAATAGAATATGTGTATAATATTATGCATGCCTTTAGACAGCTGAGGGTAACAATGAGTTTTGGTTGTTAGCCAAGATGTGGACATAGAATTGTAGGCTTTTTTCCAGTCCAAGCTTTACTAAGCCTTTGGACTCAAGGATCCAACATACAACCAAGGATACAGAGAAAACATTTGTTTACTGCACATCAACCATGAACCCCAGATCTTCACCATGTGCATGTGAGAAACCTAGTTGACCTATACGCACCATCCTGCAACCCAGTGCGCCATGGTGTGTATATATACTGTATAACATATTTAAGGGAGAGGTAGGGTCATAGCTGTTTTGCCTGTACTATGGATCACAGGAGTGCACTTGGCTCGGTTTCATTTTCAGTCAACAGCGGGCTTGACATCACAGAGCCAGTGCAGGCTCTGCAAGGTTCCTGACCTTATTGTCATGATCCATCCAGATGCCTGACGGCCCAGCCCAGTGACGGGCAGCCCATTCTGAGTCTTAGAAGCAACAGGGGGCCTAGGTGAGCATGTGTGTTCTTTGATGTCACACAGCCAGTCCTGGCTCTGCAAGGTTCCTGAATTTCTTGTCAGGATCCATCCAGATGCCTGACTGGCTGCCCAGTTCACAACCCAGTTCTCCATTTCTTGCTTTTTTTTTTTTTTTTTTTAATCCCAAACTTCTCTTTTTAAGCATGATGGCTCATATTTGATTTGTGAGAAACAACAATAACATAGAATCACTGTAAAATTATATATAGAATTTTTTTTTTTTTTTTTTTAAAACCGTCGACATACTAATGAGTTTATTCAAGCTAATCTTTTTGCATATATATCCTAAAAAAATAAAAAAAATGAATCCTTTCAGGATAAAGGCAATCTTTAGAGGATGAGTATTATAGATGTCTAGTGACTTCAGCCTTCATGGTTGATCACCAGTTATTGACTGCAGTTGTGTGGTATGTGGTGCATTACATTCTTGGCCATATTGGCTAGAAGTGCAGATGGTCAAGCTGGGGTATCTCTCTTCTTCAAGATTAAAAGGTGACAGTGTTTGCAACTGGCTAGGAAACATCAGCACCTGACTTGAAATCAGAATTCATATGACTAAGCAATAATTTTTCAACAATTTTGGATATGAGGTGTTTCCTAGGGCTTTCAAATCTATGTGAACTAAAAAAAATAGTGCTAGGTAACACTTAGAAAAGGTAATTTTGCTTAGGCGGGGAGATCTAAGGCTCTGCTGCTTCTGACTGCTAGTATTTAGAGATCTGGAGTAAGATTTGGTGATGTGAGAAAGCACAATCTTGTCTCTACCAAGATGGCTGCCTCCACATAGACACACAATTTGGAACAAGGTATAGTAAGTTGGCAATCAAGAAAAGAGCAGCTGCAGGGAGACCACAGGCAACACAGGTGACTAGTCCTTTGCCCTCTGATTTCCTTTAATTATGTCCAATCTGTGAATGGTGTGTATGTATGTTGTGTTCCCCACATATACACAATAAGCAAAGAAAGATGGGTGCAGGTGTTGCTCTGTTCCAAATATATAAATGAAATCTAAATGTAACCTCACCAGGGGTAGAGCCAGGTGACGTCAGAGCCGGAAACCGGAAGTGCGGTGGGATGCTGTGTGGTTTCGAGTAGGAATTGGATTTTTGCTTACTGTATGTGTAATACTTCTATTGATACTATAACTATATTGAATACATTGAGGATACAGATACCCCCAGTAAGTGGTTGGTTGCCATGAGAGGAGGACCAGAACCCTTGTGAAGATTTGGTTACCTCCCATTATAAGGAGAGAGGCACTTTGTGACCTATTATTATAACCTGTAGGCCAGTTTATGAAGGTGAGGGTCCATTTGGAATCACGGTTTTGTGGTTACCTCCCATTATATAAGGGTGCACAATATTTGTGCAATTTACAGCACCAGGATGGATGGCTTGCTTACAACAGGAAGACACTCCAGTAGCAAATGGAGTGAAAGGAAAATTGTGGAACTGTTTGCCTTTGCACTTTTCAGAGACTTTCCACTTGTGTTATGTTTATCGATTGATATCAACAGCACAGGTTTTTTGTTTTTAGTTTTTTGCTATAGAATAGGATTGCTTACGTTTTTTTAGATTTTATTTATATTTTTAGAGCAGCACAACACCTGCATCTACTGTATCTACCTGTTGAAACTACCAACATCTCAGGTTGATCACCAGACTGTACAGTAAGCATATCTAGATGCCTGCACACCGCTCTTCATTCTACTGTATTAGCCTAATTGAATTCTAATAGATAACCACTTAAAAGGATAGGAGAGATTCCATTTACCAAAGTCATTGAGAGTAGTAAAGAGCTAGCAGAGGATTGAATCTCACCCCAACACCAACACAAATTTGAAAAGTCACTTTTGGGCAGAATACTTCTTTGACAAAAATATCTATGCTGATTATTTTAACTGATTTTCTGCAAAGCAGATTGGGAACACTTTAGTGTCAGTGATGTTTGAATTAATGCATTTAGAAAATGATCATACAGCTGAAAAACCTATGCCCACTGCACATACCTTTCACTGTTTTCCATATCTTCTGTGTAAGTGGTATCAAGTTCTCCTCTGCACTGAAGATTGGCGATCAAGAACCATAGTATATTGACAAAATCTTAAAACTCATTGTATCTGCTATGCCATTTGTCTTATATACTTTAAAGTAGTTTGTTGCATGACCACCTTTTGTAAACTCCTACCAAAGTGGTTTATAAAGCCTCGTAGAATTGTCCTCCCATGTTGTGATATTTACTAAAATGGAACTCCAGGCAATTTTGTATTTATTTTTTTTCAAACCTTTTGCCATTTGGTGTGGGCAGTGGTTAAAACCTCTGTTAGGTTTTTAACTTTAAGAGTTCTTTTTCCTCACTAATTGTGTCAAACACCATAAACAGAGGTTCTAACCCCTTTCACTCTATCCCAAACAAAAACGAAATTGTTGGCAGGAGCTCTTTCATTGGTTGGCTTGTGAAACTCCGTAGAATGTTTCATAGCTCTTGGTATCGTAAAGACCGCACTGCCAGTTATGTTATGTTTGCTTTGATAACCGATCTAACAGTTTGTGTTTTCTGATTTCAGCTCTGGATCTCCTGTGGGCAAGGTAATATTGTTATGCATTATATTATGTGAATAATGTATTTGTTTTACATATTTATTACGCCTTTTATATTGGTAAAAATTCTCATCAAATAAACTGTACATTGATTTTTGTTGGTAATGTTATACACATTTTCTGGAATACTGTCTGAAGGGTATAAAAATTACATTACCTGAAACTGAAACACTTTTTTTAATATGTGAAAATCAAAATTTATATATAGTGTAGCCTTTTCAGGAAGTCCAATAAACATACTCTAGTTTGTCTATGAAGTTTCTCATTTATCTAGATTATGTTGTAGTTAGTAGTCGTCACTTTTAGTTCTTGTTCTGTAATATTAATTTCATCCAGGCCGAAATAAAGTCTTTGATGTGGATAAGCTACAAAATGTCCTAATCATTACAGAACAAGTCCAGTTGAATTTGACCAACTACTACTAACTGTACTTCTGTGGAATATGTAAAGACTTGCCTCCTTTTTTTTTTTTTTTTTTTTTCCCTTAAGAAGTCATGGCGCATATTTTATTCTGACCTTTTTTTGGTCCAAATTTTATTGGTGGATAACTTACCTTGTTTTATACTACACTACGCCTTACTAGGACTCTGTATTATTCCTTATGGGGACATTTTGGGTCTTGTTTAATTTAAAAGTGAACAAAGGAAAAATGTGGATGTACCCATAAAAACAAAGATTTTTTTTTTTTTTTCTACAACCTGAATTCGGGATGGGATTTTTAATACCTGTTGCTTTTTTTTTTTTTTTTTTTTAATTTAAATATTTATTAAATTTTTCATATTAATACAAAAACCCAAAAAGGGAAATAATTATTATATAACATTTCTACCTTTCCCTTACTAAAAACTCTTTTCCTTCCCGTCCCACTACCCCCCCCCCCCCTCCCGCCCCTCCTCCCCCCTCCTCCCCCTCTGCAGACTCTAGCCCTTTCTAATCTCTTGAGGCTTATTAATTTTTTTTTTTTTTTTTTTGCTAACATCCTAGTTCATATCTTCCTATATTTCTCTTTCAATCCTGCTCTTTCCCACTTTTCCCATCTCCTGGAATAAACTCTCATCCTATCTTCTTGCATATGGTATGATCTTTCCATTCTACCTATCTGGTTTACTCTATTAATCCAGTCTACCTCCTTCGGTACCTCAGCTTTCCGCCAAAACTTGGGTATCAACCCTTTCGCCGCATTCAAGAAGTACCAAATACCTGAATCTTTATATTTATTTACAGATGTCTCCACATTGTGTAGGAGGCACGTCGTTGGGTCTAACCCTATGTCAATTCCAGTTTATTTCTTCAATTAATTTAATATTATCTTCCAAAAAGCCTGGATTTTCGGACATTCCCACCATATGTGAAACACCGTGCCTATCTCTCCACATCCTCTCCAACACATATTTGAGTTTTCCCCATTCATCTTGTGCTCTACACTCGGTGTAATGTGCCATCGTGTCACACACTTATAATTAACCTCAACCTCTCTCATACTAACATTATCGTGTATCAATCTAAACATCTTTCTCTGTCTATCTTCATCAAACCCAACTCCCATATCCCTTTCCCATTTTGTCATAAAAATTAACTTTGTGTTTGTGTCTAATTCTGTGAGTATTCTATACACTTTTGAGATACCGTGCTTCCCATCCCTTCGTGTCTCTAACAACCTTTCAAACATATTCCACTCCTGTTTTATTCTCAGGGGTTTCGGTAGATTTCCAATAAAACTTTTCAATTGATGATATTTCCACTCATCTATTCTAATAAAAATATCTCCCTTCTTCTCTATTAACTCTTTAAGTGATCTCAATTCTCCCCCTCCACCAAAACATCTCTCAATTGGGTATCCTCCTTTCTAAACCATCTCCCTGATATCTTATTCTTTCCCGGGGGGAAGTACTCAGTATTTGTGAGAGGCATTAATATAGAATTAAATTCCCATTTCATGTTTTTGTGTAAATTGTCCCATACCCTAAAGACATTTAAAGTGTAGATACTTGTGCTTTCTTTAATTCCCCTGAACTGTGGTGGAACCCATATCATCTGACTCAATCTATTGCCACTAAGATCATTTTCAATTGTTACCCAACTTTTCCCCTTATGGTTAAATGTCCAGTCATATATTCTTGCTAAAACCACTGCTTTATAGTATCTCTTGACATCTGGTAGGCCCAATCCCCCTTTCTCTTTAGTCCTACTCAATGTTTCATATGCTATTCTAGGTTTTTTATTCTTCCAAATATATCTTGTTAACATTTTTTTCATTATCTTAAAGAAGGCTTCTGGAATTTTAATTGGTACCATTTGAAATCTATACAGTATTTTAGGCATAATTACCATTTTGACTAGGTTTATACGTCCTATCCAGGATGGATTTCCTCCTCCTTCTAGTCTTTTTAAATCTTCCCTGATCTCATTTATCAAAGAGATATAGTTTAATCTATACAAATGCTTAGATGAGGCAGTGAGTTTTATTCCTAGGTATTTTATCTCTTTTTCTCTCCATATAAAGGGGAATTCTTTTTGTAGTTTTTCTTTTTCATTCTTTGGTATATTAATATTCAGGATCTCTGTTTTCGTTGGATTAATTTTTAAATTTGATAGTTCACCATACTCCTTCAGAATCTTCATTATATTTGGGAGAGTTATTCGGGGATTCCCCACATAGAACAATAAGTCGTCCGCAAAGGCCGCTACTCTATGTTCTATGGATTCTATCTGAATTCCCTTTACCGATCCACTATTTCTTATTATTGACAACAGAGGTTCGAGTGACAATACATATAGCAGAGGGGACAGTGGACAGCCCTGTCTTGTACCATTAGACATTCCGATGGGTTCTGATCTCTCCCCATTTACCGTGATGATTGCAGTAGGCTCCCTATATAATTTACTTATCCACTCTCGCATTCTATCACCTATCCCCAGCACTTTTAAGTTGTCCATCATAAAGCCCCAGTCCACTCTATCAAATGCCTTTTCTGCATCAATTGACAAGAGCACCACCGGGGCTTTCCCTTTTCTACTTTTCTGAATAAGCATCAGGGTTCTCAAGCCGTTATCTCTACCTTCTCTCCCCGGTACAAAGCCCACCTGGTCTCCATGGATCCATTCAGGCATCAGATCCCTCAACCTGTTTGCTAACACCTTTGCATACAGTTTAGTGTCTGTGTTCAATAATGAGATAGGTCTATAGCTGGAGCACTGAGATGGATCTTTTCCCTCCTTGTGAATAAGTACTACATGGGCCTGTAGGGATTCTCTCCTCACTTCCATCCCACCTCCCAGAGCATTCATATATTTCTCCAACTTGGGTAGCAGTACTTCACTAAATTTCTTATAGTACTTAACTGTATATCCATCCGGGCCTGGGCTCCCCCCCCCCCCCCCTGTGCTTCTTAATGCTATTTTAATTTCTTCCTGGGAGATTTCTGCATCTAGGGAGTTCAACTGTGCTTCACTTAGTTTTGGTAATCCCGCATTTTTTAAGTATGTCATCTTTTTTTCATTAATTCCCTCTTGGGCTTCTTTTAGGGGGCCTTGGGGGCTAATATTATATAACTTTTTGTAATACTCCGTAAACACTTTAATAATCTCTTTATTTGAGTGGACCAACTCCCCCTTTGAACTTTTTATCTTTTCTATATAGTTCCTATTTTTCTTTTTATTCAAAGCTCTCATTAGATATCTTCCTGGTCTGTCTCCCCATCTATATCTCTCGTTCAAAACCCTGTTGTATACTCTTCTCTTCTCCTCATCCATCAACCTCTCTAGCTCATCTTTTTTATCGATAACCTCTGTCTCGTATCTTTTGTTATTTTCTTCTTATGGATCTGCTCCAAGTCCAATATTTCTTTTAAGAGCCCACTGACCCTCTCTCTTCTTTCCTTTTTCTTCCTTGCTCCTGCCGCAATCAAGATTCCTCTTATGAATACCTTATGGCTTTCCCAGACTGTAGCTATCGATACTTCCTCTGTTTCGTTCTCCTTAAAGTATACCTTAATCTCTTTCTCGATTTTCTGAACTACATCCTCATCCAGAAGAAGACCCTCATTTAACCTCCACCCTAATCCTCCCGTCCACCTTCTTCCCCATCCCATTTTCATTACAACCGGAGCATGGTCCGAGAACGTCCTTGTCTCTATGTCAATTTTAACCAGATGATCTATAAGTTGATGGTCTATTAAGATGTAATCTAATCTCGAGTATATCTCATGTGCATTAGAGAAGAAGGTATAGTCTCTGTCTTTCATATGCTTTATTCTCCAAGTGTCCACTAGTTGATATTCATGCATCACTTTTTTCAGAGCTCTCAGAGACCTACTCCCCTCTCTTTGCACGGAAGAGGTATTATCCTTTTGTGGGTCCATACAGAAATTTAGGTCTCCAGCTACTATCAGGCGCCCTTTTTTAAATTCCATTAATTTTTTCAGCAGACCCTTCATATACATCTCCGGGTTTTTATTAGGGCAGTATATATTGGCTAAAGTACACTCAATCCCCTGGAGTCTACCTTTTAAGAATAAAAACCTCCCCTCCGGGTCGGTTCTTCTATCCTCCAGCTCAAATCTCATATTCTTTGCAAAACCTATTGCAACCCCTTTTGCTCTTTTAATTGGAGAATCTGCATAGTACCATGTTGGGTAGTGTTTGGATTTCAATTTCACGTTTGCCTCTATCTCAAAATGCGTCTCCTGTAAAAATACCACTGACGTAGCCCTATGATGTAACTCATTAAACAACCTAAATCTCTTCCCTGGACAACTCAACCCGTTCACATTATAGGTTATAAACTGTATTTCTTCCATCATTCCCAATTAACTCCATCTCTCTCCAGATTGCCTCTTCCTCTTTATCCCTTCTGTCATGCAGAGTATTGACCCAATACCTCCTCCTCCCTCCCTCCCTCCCACCCAACTCTCGTCCCCTCCCTCCCCCCCCTTCCCCCCCCCCCCCTTTTTAGGCTTGTAAAGTGCCTACTAATCATTTGTGGGATCATTCCCACCCTTGATTTAAGACTTTGGGGTTGACCTCCGCCCATGGGCGGCTCACCTCTCCTCCATCCTCCCCAGTTTACCTCTCTCTAAAAATTTGACTCAGAAAGAAAAAAAAAAAAAGATGAAATCAGTCCAGAAGAAATACCCTATTTTCAGAAGGGGGTGGGTGGGAAATGAGGAGAGTGGAAGGGAGAAAAAAAAAAAAAAAAAAAAATTCGAGTCTCTATTTCTCCCCTCCCTCTCTCTCTCCCCCGCCCCAAACCGCCCCCTCTTCTTCCCCTAACCCGCAGCCAGTCCTCTTTTCTTATATCTTCTAATTCTCCTTTTTCTTCTTCCCATCCTTCTATTTCCATTCTTTGCAAGTCCAATCTCTCACAAAAGACTCTCAGTTCCTCTGGAAATCTCAGATAGGCTGTGACTCCGTTTCTCCATCCAATTAGGCATTCTGGGGTTCCCCATCTATACTGCACCTTCTGCTTTCTCTCATTTGTTCCAATAAAGGTCTCAAGGATCTTCTTCTCCATAGGGTCTCTGATGTTAAGTCCGCATAGATTTGGATATCTAAATCTCTATATTTAATTATTGATCTTCCTTTAATCTTCCTCCAAATCTTATCTTTGTCCCCAGATTTTTGAAATTGAACAACTGTATCCCTCGGTCTCTCCTTCCCCATGATCTGTTTGAACTTTCCTGTTCTGAACACTCCATCCAGATTAATCACTTCTGATTCCGCTCTATCCATTATGGAGTTTAGAATTTTACTAACTAGTTCATACAGTGATTCCCCTTTTACAGACTCTGGGATTCCTCGTACCCTAAGATTACTCCTTCTTTCTTTATTCTCTTGAACCTCCATCCTATAAAGAAGTTTTTTCTGAATAAAGTCCATATTTATTATCTTCCTTTCTAGTTTAACAATGGTTTGGGCCTGATTTTTAACTTTCTCCTCTGTTTCCTCCACTCTCAGCAACAGGTGCCCCAAATCATTCCGAATAGATGTCATTTCTTGCTTTATCATTTTCTCCAGACTTTGAAACATTTCTGTCATCTCTTTTTTATTTGGTACATGTAGTTCACCCTCAGGTTCGTTTTTCTCCAGCCTTTCCACCGTTTGTTGACTACAGCTGCTATTCATGTCCAGTGATAATCTAGGGTTACTTCCCAGACTGATTTCCATTTCACCCTTTTCACTAGTATCTTGGGGCCTTTCTGGAGTACTATTTCCTTGAGTAGTATATTTCTTGATCGTTCCCGTTTGGGACCCTTTGAGCCCTGCTCCTTTAATTCCTTTATTCTTCATGTCCTCTATGGGTCTTGTTTTCTTCTATGACCCCTTATACAAATGTAAGTCATATGTCTATGGCTTGTTAACCCAGCCTTGCCTTGCTATTTTTCCTTTTATTTTACTTTTCTGTGTCTCCTTCTTCCTCTTCTCTTCTCCACCTCTTCTTGACCCTTGGGAATCCCCCCTCCTCTCTTTCACCTTTTTCCTCCCCTCTGCCACAGGAGATTATAGTACACACACAATATTCCAGTATGTAAAAAGCCCCAGCCGCTCTCACTCACCCGTCTCTTTACTTGTAAGAGGCTCTGGTCGTCGGGTAGAGGGCCTTTCTCAGTCCCAGGGGGATTCCTCCGGGTCTCCTTTGGCCTCTCGGTCACCTGGAGGTCATCACAAGGCTACAGGCTGCTTCTCCAATTTTCCAGGGTCCAGGGCCAGTCTGCGCGCCGGGGAACGAGGCCAGGAGTGAGCCGGCACTTCCCTCTCTGCTCGGGATGCCGGCCGGTCTCACCTCCTCCCAGAGATCCTCCGCGGCTTGTCACATGGTCCCGCCGCGTCTCCTCGTCTCCCGGCTGACCCGGCTCCTGCCTCTCTTCACGGGCCACTCAGCTCCCCTGCTCTCCGGCCTCTCCTGCTCGGCCCACCTAACTCCGGTGAGTCTGCCCCTTCATTTTTTTTGTTTCCGAGGGTCCCTGGGAAGGATGGAAAGCGGAGCCTAGCAGAGTGCTAGTGCCTCACGCTCTTCAAAGACTCAGATTACTTGCAGGTAACATACAAATTCATTCCTGAATTCTGGATGTTTTCATTACAATATAGCCAGTGCTCCTGTCATCCTTTTTGCCAAGCAGTGGTTAACAGACACATTTTTGTTAGTCTGCTCGTTAACCTAGAGAACTTTGCTAATGCATGCTGAAGTTTGTTAAAGAAAGTGGAAGCAAATGATGGGTAGAAACACAAAATAATGGTCCTATAATAGTTTCTAATTGTTGCTTTATAGAAAAGTGATTTATATTTTCTTTTCTTAGTCTTCACCTGCTACTACAGTCACATCACCAAACACTACACCATCAAAAACTGTAGATACATCCCCGCCTCTTGACCTTTTTGCAACCGCAAGTGCAGCATCTCCTGTATGGTAAGTCTGTTCAGATCTACCTTGCTGCTTCTGTATTCATTTTATTTGGGTTATTGGATCTCCATTGTTTTGATATGTTACAGCAAAGAATTAAACAATTTTCTCTTTCATAAAGTAGTAGCCCTCTTTCCTCCATTTGTAGAACATCGTAATGGGGTGACTCTTTTCACCCCTTTGTTCTTGGCACAGAAACAGGCAGAACACCTGTTTCTCCATATTAAAAGAAAACAAAAAAAAAACACAAAAAAAAACCAAACATTTAACCTGCAATGAATAGTCAATGCTTTCAAATTCTGACAGCCATATATAGCAATAATAGACATATACTAAAACAAAGTGTAAGTAAACCCTGCCATGAACTTCTTCTATTTTCTGCTTTGGCCTGTTCAATATACCATTGGAAACCTTTTGTTATATCTGTTCAAAGAATACCTATAATCCAGCCAGAAATCTTGTGAGCAGAGAAGTTCCTTTTCTCTCTTTTCTGTCCAGCAGTCTATCTGTTACCATGTTCCAAGCTATCTTTGAGGATTCCAGAACACACCCTATGTTGTGGTGAGGCTAGCGGGTGGTGTTCTGCAATCATGTCCTAGGGTGACAATGCCGCGTCTCTTAAATCTAATACAATGAGTGAATGTTGCCACCCTAGGGCAGGACGTATGGTACTGGAGGGATCACCAGATAAAAATAAACTAAAAATGAAAGTAATGCAGGTACCACATCCCAGAATTGGTGGTATAGTAACATTTTGTTCTTTGGGTTTAGATATAATTTGAAGCTAGGTTCACATCTATCCGTGTGTGTGTGTTTTTATTGCCCATTGTACATGCATTTTTATTATTCTGGGCTTCACAGATCATGAAAATGCACAGCAACACGGACATGCCTCATTTTTCAAACTCCACCCCATAGATGAGAACAGCCTCAATGAATAATGTTACAACACTGAACAACATTGTAATGCATAACACATCCATTGCTTTGCTTTACAATGTGCAAATGCAAAGGAGTAAACCAGGCTTTAATAACTGCATGATTTTTTAGTTTTTACCTATTTTGTTTCAAAACACTTTATTTTTAAAGTGGAAGTATTTTTAAAGTGGAAGTAAACCCAATTGTGTATCTTTTACCTACAGGTAAACCTTTAATGAGACTTACCTGTAGGTACGAAACGTGCACAGATTAGAAGATATTTACTGTAAAAGAACCGGTGCTGTCATCTGCGCATTATGTTCTCAATGAATGGTGTGCCGTCTTTTGAGAGAGCTGTGCTGCGGCCGAAACTCCAGAGCACATGTGCTGGAGTCACGGCATCACAGGTCGGCCAGATGGCTGCAGCTCGCGAACCTGGAAGGAAGACTGGGTCAAGATGGAAGCTTCAGGGAGCTGTGACAATGCTCCGTTGGAAGGCTTTTTTTTTTTTTTTTTTGCGTTTATTACCACTTTAAAGATGAATTTCAAATATGGTAGTTACATTGTTTATATATTGGACCAATATAGCTGTGTATATACCATGCCTGGCCTATGTCCTTGGAAGCTGAAAATCACTGAAGCAGACATTGCTACTCCCATGAACTCCACTTTTTCAGGTCCTATGCTAAGTGACTGCTATATTCTGAATAGAGGTTTCCGGCTGCTGAGCATGGGCACCATTCAAACAGAAAACGCTTTGCATTCATTCAGAAAATGTTGCTCCACTGTATCAGCTGTTTTTATAATATTGCCTCGAAAAAGTATTCATACCCCTGGAATTTTCCATATTTTGTCATGAGACATACCCAAAAAAACTTGTAGCTGTAATTGCAATGAAAGGTGGTTCTGCAAAGTATTGATTCAGGGGAGCTGAATAAAAAATGCACGCTACACTTTTCAGATATTTAATTGTAAAAAAATTTGAAAACCATTTATCATTTTCCTTCCACTTCACAATTAGGTGCCACTTTGTGTTGGTCTATGACAGAAAATCCCAATAAAATACATTTTTGGATGTAACATGACAAAATGTGGAAAGTTTCAAGGGGTATGAATACTTTTTCAAGGCATATATAGCTAGAGCTAAAACAAAGTGCTTGAAAATGCAAATTTAAACAATATAAAAAATGTCTCTGATGTTCATTGGCTAAATAGTTTTGCTCTTGTCTTTTTACAGTTCAGCTAAACTCTCCAATGATCTTCTGGATTTACAACCAGATTTCTCCTCCACTGCTCAGGGTGGCGCAGCTGCCCCTGCAGGCGCTAGTGCATGGGGTGGTAAGTTAAATAATTTTGTCCTTTTTTTTTTTTTTTTTTTTTTTTTTCTCCAAGTTGTGATGGATTAAATATCATTAACTATGGACATGTGAGATTTGGTTGAAATGTTACTTTTGCCCTGTTGGATACAGGTTTTGTATTGGAAGTGATGACAACGGTTTTACAATGGTAATACTTTACAGGTTTTATTGTATAGCATTTTGATAAATATTGGCCCCCATGAATGTAAAACGAAAGACTTTTCCTTAAATGTATTTATGTTCAGTCGAACTTTTTAATTTCATACTTGCATGTGTATGACTAAGCTACTATTTAATGTAATTTAAAGGAGCAAAGAAAATAGAGCACAGAATTGATGAGTTCATAATATAAAAGACAATATAACTGGACATCTGCATTTTTTTTTTTTTTAATTTTTTCTTATGTGACAGTTGCCAGACTGTGTTTTGGCATTCCCGGTATGCACATCTTCTGTCATTTGCCAGTCTGCAGCAATTGGAGGCATTGCAGAGGAAAGATGGTTTGTAAAATGTTTAAAGATGAATGGTCATTTGCACTCTGGTGCAATAATATAAACATTTTATTAGTGCAAAGTCATACATCATGTGTAACCAACTTTTCGGGGTCATGCTGGGTCCCTTACTCAAGGCAACATAGTGACAGAGGTCACTATAACATTTAAAAAAAAAAAAAAAAAATCACTGTGGTTGGTCCATATTCTAGAACAGAAACAAAAAATGACTGCCATGTTGGAGAAAAATGTGGTTTCAACAAAAAAAGCCCAAAGCAGATCTGTAATCTCTCATCTTTCCAAGTGAGCAATCTTTGTATAATAGGCACTTGTAAGCACTTGTTTTCACTCATGAATTAGCACACAGCAGCCTATTTGTTGTGAGAGGTAATGGAATTGGTTGTTTTGATTGCAAACATTAGGTTATCTGTCAAAAAATCCCAGTGGCAGCAATGCCATAGTGCTCCTATTTTGTGATAATTGGACCATCTCTGATCTCTCCGGGGAACAATAATACTGAGTGCAGCTCAGGCAGCTTAAACAGGGATATTTTCCAGTTTGTTGGGACTTTTCTGTACTCTGGTCCATTAATATTTAGTCTAGGTTGACCATAGAATCACCGAAATTTGATCCATGCGTGGCTGCTCCCGTTCAACAGAAGTTGATCTAGTGATTGACGTCTGTCGAACTGGCTTCTTAGGCAGCCCATGAATGATGCAATTTTCTTTCCTTCCACCACTGATGGAAGGAAAGACAATTGCTCAATTCCACCATCAACAGTCAGTGTTGATGGTGGAATCCCTCCAGCAGCGCTATTGTGTTCTGCTGGAGGGGAGCCTTTCCTGTCGGCAGAGCACAGTGATCACTTCTGGCAGCTATAGATGTCGGCAGTGATCGTAAGAAAAAAAATTAGACAGGCTGGTTGTACTGAAGCCAATCAATGGATCAACTTCATTACAACCATTCTGCCCATAGATGGATTGGATTTCTGCCAGTCCCTGCTGAACTGGCCAAGATTCAATCCATCTATAGACTGCTTTAGTCTTAATTTGCCCTACCACTAACAATCCCAACTGATCTCTAATATTTAAAGCAAACATTGCATAAGATGTTCACTTTCAGATGACTGCTGAAGACTATCTCTTGTGATTGGGAACAATAGTGCATGCCATACAACTGAGGAACATATACAGTATGTTGTGCCACTGTAGTTCAGATTATTTTCATTGTTGCTATGTTAAGCTACCCATAGACATTGCATAAAATGTACCGGTCATTTTCAGATTTATGAGAAAATAGGAGGGGGGGGGGGGGCAACAATAATTCCTTTAGCTTAGACTCCAGGGTATGCTGCTCTATGGCAGGTAAAAGTATTTAGAAGTGAAGAAGTTGCTGACATTCGTCCAGAATGGTAGCTCAGTAGGTAATAGTAGTATAGTGTGTTGGTTTTCTCTGAATTCATCAATTTTAAGCACAGTTTGGGCTGATGATGGGGGCATGCTGAGCCCCTGAAACATGTTGGCTGTTTTATCTCATGTTACCCTAATAAAAAGTAATTGAAATTTTCACATTGAACTTCGAATTTTGAATCCTATGCAGGGGTTCCTGTTCTGAGATTCCCTGATATGGCTAACAAGACCCAGTGAGCTCTAGGAATCAGACTTGACTTTGTATTTATTTTTATATTAAAGTTCCATATTGGCACACTTGCAGTGCATATTAAAAAAAAAAAAAAAAGCATGGTTTGTAACAGTACGTGTGTGTACAGGTCACCGTTTAACTAATTTGAATTAACTAAGATATGATCAGAAGTTGTAATGACATCAACTTTTTAAGAGCATTTATTGTATGTAATTTAGTGTTGTGGTAGATAATTTGTAAACTGCAAGTATGTTTAGCCATCCATTAACATGAGTAATCTAATTACTGTGTTTTTTAGTGTATGGTGTAAATCCACTGACTTTTTATACGGCTCTCCCAGGAGTATAAAAAGGCCAGTTCTTGTACCTGGGGCACTGTTTTGCATAATCATTCCTTTAAAAAAAAACAATTTTGGTCTTCCAAACCATCTCTAGTATTTCTTCTGAATAATGTTACTTGTACAAACTCCACATACAGTAGATGTTTATTGTGTTGTGTTCGTTGTGTTCTAAAAATGAAACCCTCATGCAGTTAAGACCTGAGAACATTCTCGTGCATTAGTTAACCCTTTGAGGACCATAAGATTATATTATATATTAGACCATAGGAACGCCAATTTTTTGGTTTTTAAAGTTCGTATACTTCAGCTGCTGTTATTTTGACTCAAACAAAAAAAGAAAAAAAGTATTTTAAGTTCTTAATCGGATGATACAGGCAATTTAAAAACATGGGACAAATACGTCCCTTGGTCCTCAAAGGGTTAACCTGATGTCAACGATTGATGACTTTGCAGTTATCAATTTATTGCCTAAATTCTAGCCTGAACTGACTAGCTGGCAATTCTGCTGTTTGCCAGAACTGCTGGCCAGAGTGTTTTTTTTTTTTTTTTTTTTTAGTTTCGGTGGTTGGTATGACTTCTTACTCTTCAACAGATGTTTTTCAGTGCTTTTTAGCTTTTAGGTCTGGAAGAATGGCATTATCATTTTAATGTGTTTAAAAATTCACTATTTAAACTATCTGCTCATAAACATTTTCTTTTATGGCGTTCTTTGCTGTATTCAGTAAAAGTTTGTTTTTCCAAAAAATGACTGCTATTCTTTCTCCAAACACTTTTGTTGTATTCTACGTTGATAACTATAAAGCCAAAAATGGAGAACCTGCAGAAAAAAGTAATCTGACAAAGCATGGGGAAGGCATGATTAAACCAATATGATGTTATCTGAAAATAAAACCCTACGAAAGTGTTTTGTTTAATGGTGTGCATTAGAGTAATCTTTTGGGTTAAGAACACTACATAAAAGCCGCATATACACTTATAAGAATATTGTATGAAAAAATTACACTTTTAAAGCGATTGTATGATAATCTGGATCGTTAGTACACCGCCAATCCGAAACAAAAATAGGAAGGGACAATGCTCGGAAAAATGTTTTTCGTATGATTTTCGTTGAACCAGTGCAGTAGTCAATCCAAAAAAATACAATAAATACACATTATTCAGATTTTTTTTATTCCTCGTTTTAAAGCATTATCGTTAATGTTAGTAACTCTTCACTTTTTTGAGATGAGGACTAGCCTGCAGGAAAAAAACCAGACTATCATTTCGTCCCGATATTCTAATATGTGTACATGGGGCATAAGAGAAAACTTGTAGGGCAGTTAGTTATATTGTAGTAGTTCACAAAGGAGAGTTATCTTCCTCCTTTTTGATTTCCTTTCTTTTTGTTCTAGACTTAATGAAATGGGATTGTAAACAGCACGTTGGTAGTTGTACTGAGTAGATTATTATCAGCAATTTCAACCCACCCTTCCATCACATGATGCTTTTCCTTTTTCGTTTTCCTTTTCCCACAGAACAGCAAGGGGGGAAGGAGGGGAAAAAGGAAAAAAAATTTTTTAAAAGGAGGGGGGCGGGGAAGGAAAAGGAAAAAAAGGAGGAAAAAAAGGGGAATGAAAAAAAAAAGGAAGGCGGAAGGGGAGGAGGCATTTTAAGGGGACGGGGAAAAAACCGGCGGAACGTAGGGGAAAAAAAGGGGGGGAAAGGCGGGGCAAAAAAGGGGGGAGGAAAGGAATGGGAACTTCCCTTTTCTTCTTCTTTTTTTTCCTTCTTTTTTTTTTCTTTTTTTTTTCCTTTTTTTTCTTTTTTCTTTTTTCCTTCTTCTTCTTCTTTTTTCCTTCTTCTTCTTTTTTTTCCTTCTTCTTTCTTTTTTTCTTTTCCTTCTTCTTTTTTTCTTTTCTTTTCCTTTTTTTCTTCTTCTTCGTTTTTTTCCCTTTTTTCTTCTTTTTTTTCTTTTCCCTTTTTTCTTCTTTTCTTTTCCTTTCTTCTTTTTTTCTTCTTTTCCTTTTTTTCTTCTTTTTCTTTTCCCTTTTTCTTCTTCTTCTTTTCCCCCCTTCCTTTTTTCCCCTTTCCCTTTTTTTCCTTTCCCTTTTTCTTCTTCTTTTCCTTTCCTTCTTCTTTTTTTCTTTTTCCTTTTTTTCTTCTTTTCTTTTCCTTCTTCCCTTTTTCTTTTTTTTTCCTTCTTTTCCCCTTCCCTTTTTCTTTTTTTTTTTTCTTTTCTTTTCTTTCTTTTCCTTTTTTTCTTCTTCTTCTTTTTTCCTTTTTTTTTCCTTTTCTTCTTTTTTTCCTTCTTTTTTATTTTTTTTCTTTTCTTTTTTTCTTTTCTTCTTTTCCCCCCATTTTTTTCTTCTTCTTCTTTTTCCTTCTTCTTCTTTTTTTTCTTTTCCTTTTTTTCTTTCTTCTTCTTTTTTTTTCCCTTTTTCTTTTTTCTTTTTTCCTTCTTCTTCTTCTTCTTTTTCCCCTTCTTCTTTCTTTTCCCTTCCTTTTTTCTTCTTTTCCTTCTTTTCCCTT